CTCGGCCTCGGGTTTTCCCGCAGGGAGTGGAGTGGGCTAGCAAATGTTCCCTTGTTACCCCCCACCCCCCCAAAAAAAAAACAAGAAAAGAAAAGAAGAAAAAAAAAGGAACAATCTTTAAGGAAGTTAGAAACTCGAACATACATGTAAAGTAAGAAATAAGCATTTGCATTAGCTAAATGCAAAGCAATTGAACCAACACTATTTAAAGCTGCCAAAATATATTGAATTGCTAACTCAAAACACGTTGTTTTCCAAGGTCCCAAGAGCCACTTTTATGAATTTTGTATTTGTTCTGTGCGACTAACATGACTGACACCTATGGACCTGAACAACATGACCACCACAGAAGCCTGCAATATACACCTCCAAAAATATCTCAACTTAACTTCCCTTAAATAGATAATTTTGAACGAATTCAAAATTTATATTGATAAATGTCTTGTGTATTGAAGCCATAGAACTTGATGTTCTCTCATTACTGGTCCATGATCAAGGCAGTAAAAACAAAGGTATAAGTGTTTATCTCAACTTCTAATCAGAATCCTTTTATCTCAATTTTTTGAGCAAATTGCATGAATCCTTTTTTTTTCACCCTTTTCTCATTCAGTCGTTAGGAGCCATTAATCATTAATACTACCGATGTGATGTTATATTCCACCCCACAATTAACTGCGATACTTTCGCCAAACACTTCCCTATGACATATTGCCTCCACTAGTCAAGACAATTAGGTTCTTTATTAATTTTGCCCAAATGCTATAGCCATCTCCAGACATATTGTGCATATGACTAGAGTAGCTTAAAAAACTTCTGCCATTTGATGCCCTGTTATGAGTGCTCTTGCCAATATGTGTTTTTTAATTTAGATTAAAACATACGGAATTTCAATTTGTTATATCCAAGAACCCGGTAGCTTACAAACTGATTTACTCCAGTTCTATTATGTATTTTTTTGTTTGCATTGTAATGCTTAAGTAAATGAGTATATATAACAACAAACATAAACAAGTAAGACATTGTTCATGAGCAAATATGCTTACCTCCTCTTCCTCTTCTGAGTTTGTTACAGCTTCTTCTTCCTCATCATCTTCATATTCATCTTCATGGTCTGGTAGTTCGTCCCCGTGAGTCGGTGACCGCTCAATATCCTCCCCATCCGTTTCATACTCTGACTCCTCTCTTTCACTCTCAGAATATACAGGACGCTTGGATGGACGAGCAGCAGGCAAGGATGTCTTGCGAGGAACATTCTTGTTCACATTTGACTGATGATTCATATAAGAGAAACGACACACATAAACAAGAAAAGCCATAACGTGTGTGTCCAAATAAATTACCAACAATAACACAAAACTAACCCTTTTGGCATTAATAATGCGCTTCTCAGCTCGTGCTTCTGCTTCTAGATCTTCCTCAAAACGATTTCGCCGACGAGAGCTGTAATAATCATCAGCTTCTTCTTCCTGTAGGTTACCAAGTAGCGGATTAAACAAAACAAATTCCAAAGGATTGACATGTTGCATTAAGGTAAATGGCAGAAAAAGGTAAACAGAAGAAAGCAAGGTGAGCATATCAGTAAGGAAAAAACTAGTAGCACGACATGAGACCAGCAGGCACATGACCATATGAAAATATAAATGCATCACAAAACAAATGACTCAAACATGTCTCCATAGATGAAGTTTTTCAACTCCACATTTAACTATAAAAAAGTATACCAAGCCTAGTGATAAATTAGATCGAAGAAAATGGAGAGAAAACTGAAACAGAAACAAATCCAGAATGAAATTAAAGAATTAGTAAGTCATCTTTAAAAAGCCGTCTGTCCAGTTACTATTTAGAAGATCTTTCAGTTACTTGTTCACAGATATGATTTCAGTTTTATAAAATATCCCAGACCCCTCTATATAATCTAAATTGAAAGTGCAGAAGTAATCAAGCAAACAAGAAGAAACATCATAAAAGCAGACCTCTTCAGGACCATCTTCCAAGAATCCTGGAGAAAGTTGCCGTTCCCTACGGTATGTTTGTGTGTATTTGCTTTTCACTTTTTCACGTTTTCGATGAAGAAGTTCATTGGCCCTAATCGTTTGGCCTTCAACCTGAACAAATATAAAAAGATGAGAATGTACCCAAGTGCAGTTAAAAAAGTAAAAAATAAGATGATGCTAAGCCATGATTTCATCAAACAGAAGTTCAAAGCTGTCATCATAACCAAGATCCCCCAGAATATATATATATATTTTTTTCATCTTTCAATTCAAATCCTTCCCAAACAATAAAATTTAACAGTTAAACAAATGGAAAAAAATAATACAGATAATCAGAACTATTAACTTAAACAGTAACGATATAGGTGGGAAGTAACCATCATGAGGTGTGATTACATCTACATTCTGAAACCCCACGGAGAAAAAGAAGAAGAGATTCCCATTCAGTGTGGACCGTAGTCATTTTCTTCTCTTGTATTGACAAACAAACTTGACAATATGAAGACAAGGTCTGAGACAGCAGTCAATTTGTGATCATCCTGTTAGTATGGTGTACATGACTTTATCTAAAGCAAACATCAGAGTTTGCATCTGTGCTCTATGTATCGGGTCATATCAGTTCCATATATACTGGCTGGCTCAGCACTAGTCGTGTATGGACATGTTTGCCTTTCTAGCACACCCCATCAGTTCAGTATAATATTAACTACATAGTTCAGTGAGGTAGTTTACTGAATTACTTGCTAAACCAACAAAACTCAGTACTCAACTAGTCGCCAAAATAACAAACTTTGTGAGCTTATAGTTATGCTCAATTTGATTGTAGCTTGCAAAGTGGCCTCTTATCAACTGAACTAAACTTTCGGAAAAATTGCTAATAATTTGACTGCAAGTACAGTTGAATTCTAGTTTTCCTTGAATTCAAATAGGAGACCTTGCTTGCATATACTTAAACGGAAAAGATAATAGTAGAAAAAATATTTTTGTTTTTCCCTAAGATGCGAGTTTGGGCTAATTTATGTAGAATTATTAACAACAATGATGTCGCTTAGAGATCTACACAAAGATTTCATGTAATTTCAACCGACCTACCCATATGTTTATTATTTTATCTCCTTATAAATATCGTTAGTTTGGATAAGAATCTTCTGAACATAGATGGATGGCTGGCCACCTAAGCCTTAAGTCGAGAAAAGAAAGGAAGGAAAGTGGTAGAAGGATGGATATTTAACAAGCTTTAGCATTACTTCTCCTTATAACTCCACAAACAATTCCACAAGCTCCAGTGTTTACTTATTTTGAAGTGTCAAAACCAATCAACAATTTAGGGCCAAAACAAAGACATGGGATTCATGACTATGCTCCAACAGATTCAATAAAATATGCATACCTTTTCTTTCTCCTCCTTCTCTCTCTCTGGATCAATGTCTGTAATACAATTTTTCACCTTATAGACTTTCTTATGACGTGAATCAACAAGAGCAGTCAATAATCGGTGAGACTTTGATGTCAACGAAGACGGCATAAACCTCATCTTCTTTAAGAGCCTCCCTTGTGATTGCAAAATTCCCTGGAAAATATTTTAAGAGACACCAATTAGATGTGAAAACAGGTCATTACCATAAAACCTTCTGTCTAGCAATTTGTCTATATCTAAAATCATAGCTGCTCCGAAAAATAAAGGTTTTACAGAGAAGTTTCATAGTAAATTCACCTTTCCATGGCGAAGGAAAAGGTGGGTTTGGTCATGAAGTGCCTCTTGAACGGTTAGGTTTAGAACTTCATTCCCAATTAACAGTTGCATACTTCCATCACTCCACTTTACAAAACGTGCATTGCTTTCTATCTGTAAAAAGATGCAACAAAGATATGCTAAAAGTTTATAACATAAAAACATACACAACGTAATAAAAATGATCTTTTGTCAATGGTATTAAAAGTGGAAAATAGAACAAAATATTAATGGAAATTATAGCGCAATGCCAAGTGGTAACTTGGCCATCTAGTATAACACATGTCAAATAGGAAAGGTTGTCTTGTATATAACTTTTTGACAACTCTTATCTACTACAGTTTTAAACACAATACAGAAGGCAGAAATAATTCACTAAACTAATCAAATACATAGGACAAAGGACAGACCTGGTAGAAGCAATATCGCACCGCTAATGTGCATGCAACACACTATGCACACTTACACACACTTAAATGCAGACACCCATCTGCATGCCAGTATGGACACTTGTGTACACACAAACATCTACACAGACAGAAATTCAACTCATCTACATTCAATCAAATAGTATCAGATGTAGTTCAAATGGTCATACACACGCATACATGTGCACAAGCAGGTACACAAAAAACTTCCTCGGAATCAAGTACTATCAGGTATAGTTCAAATGGCACAATTCAAATAAAGCTTATGATGTCCAACGTAAAACCATGACACATAATGTAAAGGTTATTCGGTGACTACTTAAATATTAGGACAAAAAAACCGACTTGTAGAGGCAACGCTTCATGAATAATACACATTTCGAAGTTAAACTGATGAGGTATATAGAAGAGTAAAGTGATACAGCGGAAGCAAGATCATATCCCTAAAGAACATGTCACCAGCCATCTGTCCACACATGTAGATGTGCAGGCACATACAACTACGCATACCGAAGTAGTATCACTGTAGTTCAAACGACAATAGTTCAACAGCACTCACAAAGCACAACTTAAGTCCGTGGTACAGAAGCGAAAAGTGATTCACCAACTGAAACAAACATGTATGAAAATAAAGGTGATACGATGAAAAAATATTGCATCATTGATATGCCTGCAAAATGCACATATATGCACACACACGCATGCAGGCACACAAACCACCAAAAACCTGGCTGTGTCGAGCGTAGATTAAAATAAACAATTTCAATATCATTACAATCACCTATATGCTTATTTGCATCCATGCAATCAAAAGGGCTTTACCCCTGTTGTTTATTTTGGATTTGACAAATAACTTCAATTATATAGCTTGAATATTTTCCTAATACTAACGTTTCTTTCAATTTTTAAACAAGATGCATAAATGATCATAAACTAAATCTTCTCTTTTTGTGGGAAAATGTCCTGGTCATTCCAAAATTTGTAGATGTTAATGCATAGCTGCTGTTGCTTTTTTTTTGTTATCAAACAGCATTTCATTTTATTCAACTGCCATACCAAAGAACTTTTAAGTTTCCAAGTAGAGTACTTATAAAAAGAAAAATGGTAAACCGAAAAAAGGACCCAAAACACATGTGTAAACGCTGATCTCACAACTGACAACAGCTCTCTTGATGAAATGGGAGTTAAAGATCCAAATCATACAACAGGCTTTAGACTGAATGACATAAAATAATTATTTAACACATACACAGACCAAGTATCAGCTCATCACATGTAAGTGTCGAAAAGTAAACTCGCATGAGACTGTGGTCTCGTTTTCTTAGGCAAATCAATTTATGTATTATTGGTTTTCTTAGGGCTAGTCATATTATATCTTTAAAATTGAAAGAACATTAATAGTTTAATAAATTTATGCAAAGGTGAGTGCTTCAAGTATATGCTTAAAGTTGTATTATCAAAGCCTAGGAAATGCGTTAGATAAAATGCCTCTACTTACAGATGTTCTGCCATCACGTCTCTTGACGTTTCTCCAACGCACAATATTGTCTTCTAGGCGTATGCGTTTTTTTGTTCCAGATTCATCTGTCACAAAAACATCCTCTTCCACATATGTCTTTGGATCAAAAGGTTTTGGTTCAATGCCCATGATGTTAGATACTCTAATCATGTTCATCTGCAAACAATAAAACCTTTAAGAAATAAGAACCCTAAAAATGGAGATTAAAGAACATGATAAGAGAATCAGATAGTATCAGTGAATCTTCTCCTAGAAAATAAAATTAACAGCCCTGTCTTAAACGTACATTACACATATAAAATAGGCCCATTAAAACAGAGGGTACAAAAAACTGAATGTAGGGGTGTCTTCAGTATGAAGAGAGAAGTAGGTTACATGAACAAGACACAAGCAGAGCTACATGTGTCATTCATCAGACATCACATGCAAGACTTGAAATTAAAATGCTGCATAGGATATTTTATCATATTTCATCACATTTTCAGAAGAATTAGACAGACTGCAAAGGCCTACAAACAAATGTGTCAAGTTGGACTTTGAACGACAAAAAAGAACAATTGATGAACAGAGAGAAATAACATATCATAATAAATAGAGATTTCTACTCAAGGTATTTGCAACTAATTTGTTCAAACTTCCAGAAGTTGATGACCTATTTGTTTACTAGCAAATTATAGCACAATGCTAAGTTCTATTGAAACTTCAATTCTTGAAGTTTGGTTGGATGGTGTACATCAACGGCTTTATTTGTATCACAAATCCTATCTCTATGAGAAAATCTTGGATTAGGAAGTCAAAGCTTTGCTGAATGAATTCGAGCTCAGCAGAAGAATCTTTAATTGCAACAACTGTAATTTGAAAGCTACAAATAACAAGAAATCAAACGATTGTATTTTCTATCAAATTTTGTAAATGAATATCCTAGATTTCAAATTACAGAATACAGACGACAGAAAAAACCCTTAAGCTTTGGCTAATTGCTGAGAAGAGAAGCCGATACATGAATATTGACCATCAAGAAATCAGAATTATCTTTCATTGAGCCTGGCTTAGTGAGGGATGGCCGGATGGGATTGGATTGCGAGAATCTCAGGTTAACACCTTTATGGAAAGTTTACAAGCAAGAAACAGCTCATCTATATCAGAGTAACTGGCATGTTTATCTCACGATGCAAATTATAATCCTGTGAATTGCCACAGAAAGTGATGTGCCCATATAAAAGTCCAGAAGAAAAAAAATTCTTGCAAAAGCTCGCTTTGTAGAGCTAAATGGTAGATCATTACCCTATCAGGTCGACCTGGAGGAGGGCGCAGCGGAATTTCCATCTCCAATGGGGGACCAACTGGCTTCTCCTTGGGTTTCTGTTCATGACGTTCATCTTCTGACTCATATTGTACATCTTCATCTGGCACCATATCTTCTGGTCTCAAATCTTTATCATAGTCGTCGACATCCTCCTCCATAGGAGATCTCTGATACAAGGAAAACATCAAATTCTTAACAGACATACAGCAATAGTGAACTATAGAAAAAAATACAGGTGCACAGAGGTCCAAGTACAAGTCAGATAACATGATGGTTTCAAAAGAAAAGGGCTTCATAAGATTTTGTAAGCGTCAAGTATCAATCTAACATGAACGAGACAATACCAGAAGAGTTTCAGGTGTCAATCTTACGTGTGAATCTTGTTCTTGCTCGTTCTGAACACCGTATTCAGCTTCATCATCATCAGAATCTCCAAACACCTTACGAACAGCTTCATCGTCTTTTTGCTCCTCCGGAGACCTGCTGCAAATTTCCATATTACATAATATAACAGTAAATGTTAAGTAATAATATAACCAACTTAATAAAGCTAACTTAAAGAAGGGTCTCAGAGGAATGCATATATCAGCCAACAAAAGCACCTACCATCACCGTAGTTCAACTACTACTGATAGACAATTCATAAAACAAGGTATGTCATAACTGCAAGGAGTGCTGAAAGAAAACATGGATTTCTTTATAACCAGATTTTTTCAAGCAATTATTGATTTTTAAACTCACATATCAGACGAATTCTATTAACTATCAGAATTTTTCAAAAGTAGTGGATCTTAGCAAGTTTAAACTAGCTTTTACAATATTACAATTTATATAACCAGCTTAACATGAGTGGATAAATACATGCATCTACACGTCAATAGGAATGCATAAAAAAATTTTTACCTATCCTTCCTTGCTTGATCAACCTCCTCTTCTTCATTATCATGATCAGCATAATGATTATCTCCAGATCCCTCAGACTCGCTACCAATTACTTCCCGTCTTCTGCTTGTTGCTACCCTCTGTCCATATTCTTCCTCACTTTCTGCATCTTTACCTTCGCTCTCCATCTGTTGTTGTTCACTAACTTCTTTTTCTGGGGAACTCTGGATTCTTTCTCCCTCGCTCTCTCCTTGATCATGATCCACTAAACGTGCTTCCCCTTCACTTTCTACTTCAGCTTCCCCCTGTCCCTCAGCTTCACCTTGACCTTCACCATCATGCTCTGCCTCTCCTTCCCCTTCATCCTGTAATAATAACAATTTTATAAAAAAACATAAAAAGGACTTCAGTGATGCAAGGCAACAAGTATCAAAGTGTAATATAAATTGGATGACAAATTAGCTAAACCTAGGGGCATAAATAGAAATTTGTCAATAGCCTCCCTGTATAATTTGCGACCAGAAGTAAGGTCAAAGACAAATGAATTTTGCGGAAATGAACAATGATAAGCTGTCAAAGATTATTTAGACAGGAAGTGAAAGGAGATCAATATCATAAACAACCAAAGAAAAGAATGCATTAAAAGACAAAGATGTAATAAAAAACTAGTTTACCCATAAATGGTAAACCATTTACCCTCATCAGGTACATTTGTACAGTTGTGTAAAATAAGAAAAATAATAAATAAATACACATAAAACTATAAAAAAAGGTAAGAAACATCAAAATCAAGATATCAAAAACACCACTTAATATGGTTTTCATCAAAATAAAATTGGCTACCAAGCACCTTGAAAATTGAGATGGTTCCACGAAAATTTTTGAGATCTATCAGACATGAAAACTCAATTGGGTGCGAAATTGTTACTAACACAATTATGGACAAGAATGTACGGTTGCTTGTTGCAAAACCTAGGCAGATCAGTAAGCACTTTGTTAGCCATGAAGCTTAAACTCGTCCAATCAAGGAGTAACAGCTAAACAACTAAAAAATTAAGAAAAAGTCTATATGAAAGGGTTACAAGGATAGATCTGAAGAGAAATAACAAAATCTTTAACACTATAATCCTACAAAAGAAAAAATAATCAAAGCAAACTGCTAAAATGGCAAGTGACCAATCCAGCCTCTCGGAAAAGTCAGATCAGAATAAACTCTGTAATGATTATCAAGCTATTAGCTCATCATCAAATATTACCTATGTTGGACATAGGGATAAAGGTTTAGCATGAAGATTCACCCCCAACCCCCTTCTACACACACACACACAAAAAAAAGACTCGTTAATTTATCCAGTCTTTGTCACTAGTGAAAATGACTCCTTTTCCGCTAAGATAACCAATTTATTCCTCATTTCATTAATTTAACCCCAAATCTCTCACAAGCCCTGACCCTCGCAAAAAGGAAACATAATAAATAAATATAGTAAACCTGAGAGAGGGGGGGGGGGATGAGGAGACTTTTAGTTGCACTTTTTTCTTCATGGATTTTAGTTGAAGAAGAAAAAAAGAGGGAAAACAAGTTTTTCCCCTTGATCGATTAGACATCTAAAGCAACTAATTAGAAGAACAAAATTATGTTCCCATATAACTTGAAGGTAAATTGGAGAACGTGATCTTTGGGAGGAGAATTTTTAGATATGGAAGTTTTGAAGGGTAAATGTGTAAAGACCATGAAAAATAAACTCAGGAGTGTCAAATTTGGAAGTCTAAATGCCTAATTTGACAACCATCCGAGAAGCATTACACTAACCATAAGATTAGTCTGTCAAATTGAGATTGCCAGGCTTTTGACTCTAAACAATAATAAGTTAGATGTTGTTCAGCAACCTTTGCCTCCAAATGTAAGCATGGATATCTACCGATATAGCACCATTACTTTTGAGGAGTACACCTATCATACTTAGGTGACACTTGGACGCTCCCCTATGTGATATGCACATGTCGATATTCCTTGGCGTACTCTAAAATTTGTAGTGTACCTTTCATTTGTCAGAAACATATCATATCTCAACTAGTAAAAAATTACTAAAAATATTAAAGGTAATTTGCAACATGTTGAAATTTTAGATAACTTTCAATAATATCATAAGGGATTAGTGTGATATCAATTTATATATTTGTCTATATGGTGCAAGATTTCTATTTAAGTTTTCTTGTTTATAAGGTGCAAGATTAGTGTGATATCATAAGGGATTAGTGTGATATCAAATTAGGTATTTGTCTATATGGTGCAAGATTTCTATTTAAGTTTTGTTGTTTTGATTACTATTGACTATTGATACATACTACAATATCTTCGAGATGATGTGAAATTTCGTTTCTATTAGCATCCGGAAATCTTATTTTGGATCTCTAGCTGTTTTTTTAGGATGCATTTGGATGTAAATGTGTAATTTTGGCGATTTTTGAAAAAACATATTCATCGTACTTTTAGGTATTTTGGTTTAGGAAAGAAGAATATGGAAGCATCTCTGTTTTTTTTTTGGGTGGGGGGATGAATATGGAAGCCTCTTACAATCATGATAATGCAAATCTTTAGTCTGGACAAAAATTCCAAAATTTTCTATCCATGACTTTTAACATAACTTTTGTAGCCAAACCACAAATCAACTTTAAGGTTCTACAAATTCAGTAAGCTCCACCATGATGAGGAAAAAAACTGGTTTTTCTATTAATGACCATTACACAACATTTATGCTACTAGAAATTTTGATGCAAATCATGTGTTACTTTAGTTAGACTTGTACAGTGTATGATATTTATTATTTTTTGTGTATTATAGAATTCATTTATGATAATTACAAATTTACATATGACAAGTCATTATCCATTACTATTATTTAAAGAAATCACTCCCTTTGGTCATGTGAGCTTGAAATTTAGAATTCGGAAAATGACACTACATTTGAAAAAATACGGAAATGCCTTTACAGTGCTCACACAAAGAAATATAAACGAAGATGCCCTCACTTGAAAAAATTAACGGAAATGCTCTCTCACCCAGAAAAAACAACGTAAATACCCTCGCACTTAAAAAATAAACAGAAAAGCCCTCATAATCGGAACTAACCAAAAAAATGACAATCCGTCTGTTTTCTTCACAGTCAGAGTACCACACTCTCTTATGGTTTACGTCATGCACGCATCACGTGCACCGGGATAATAATAGTATTTATTTAATACTAAGCTTGCTAGTCTCTTTTGGAGGGAGTAATTGTTTCCCATTATGTGATGGCAGAAAGTACTTTTTCTTGACAATCGAAGTACAACACTCTTATGTTTTACGTCATGCACGCATCACGTGCACTGGAATAATAATAGTATTTATTTAATACTAAGCTTGCTAGTATCTTTTCGAGGGAGTAAATTAAGAAAAACCTACAAAAGTAAATAAAGAAAAACACTAGTCTGTTTTTTTTCCTTCTCTTTCCTTTGTTTTCTATTTAGCAAAACACAGAATAGACATTTAAATCACATATCACTTAGTGGGTTTGGGTATGAGTTTATTTGGATCCACTACGAATCCTATCTACTTGAGCATTGAAATCTCTAACCATACAAGTACAATGAAGCTGTATCTCTCTTGTGATGCTACACAGTAAGAATAAAAGAAAAAACTCGTTATCAGCAAGAAAAAAGAAAAGGTCTTTTTTTCTTTCCTTTTTATTGTGTTCCTTCCCTTTCCTTTTATTTCATATGTTAAGATACAGCATACAAATTTAAAGACATCTGTATTAGTGGGTTGGGAATTATTGTTCATGTGGACTTCGCTTGGACCGTACCTATTTAAGACATAAAAGCAGTAACCGTATACCAAAGTTACAACTTTTCTGCCGCCACAAAGCAAAGAGAAGGCAGAAACTGGCTATTGAAGAGAAAAATGTAGCTCCCTCGCTCTCAGCATTGCGAAACTATATTTTCTAGAAGGGTCCCAAGTTATGAATTATGTAAAAAAAAAAACTAATAAAAATGGCCGACCCTTATCAATATTGGCCAAAATTGAAGGCTTATTTGGAGAACAGATGCATGGACTTACCACACTGAAAGAATTGGAAGTAATAAGCTTTCAGTTATAGTCAGGTGCTGCCAAACCACGTTCTGCGGAAATGAAGTGTTGAACCCTGCTTGCAGTGGACACTTTCCTTCTAAAGGTATGTAGCATAGTAATCCTGCCTAGTTCTAAAAATATATCTGACGTAACATAAAAAATAGAAGAGCTTACGGAAATAAACATGCCGCCACAACGCCATCAAAGTCCAATCTGCAAGCTGCTTGTGTGATGGACCAACATTGACCTAACTAACTTACCAATCCACAAGTTTATTTTAAGTCCATTGGTTGAACTTGCTACACGATGCTCAGAGAATGTATCTCTAGGAATTGACTATTTTTTTTCCTCTATTACTCCAAAAACTGTCCAATTTTCCTGGAAATTCAAGCGTCCAACAAAAGGACCCATGTTCACAGATAATATATAGAACCTGAATATGGAGGGGGAAAAAGGGAAACGCGTTCCTCCAATCTAACGCCAAATGTTTAAGTAAAGATTGTTGTACAACTTCTACAGGACCTGTACAGGGGTTAATTTAGGACTAAAGCTTATAAACTCAATCTAAGGCATACAACTAGCCAAAATGTTCTCTCTAATTCTCCCTACTTTGAGATCTCCATAAAATTATAGGGTTGTTTTCACATTAGATGCTACATTCTATCATATTTGTAAGTTAAGTCGCAGAATCTTTATATTTGTAATATGCGCCCCTAAATCTTAATATTTGTTTGAAATAGGAGTGTTTCTAAAACAACTTCATGATTTAAGGGTGTGAACAGTGAACACAGATATGAAGCTTTGGGACGAACATAAGAGTCTAATATGGGAAGAAAAAAACACACCCTAAATTAATTATCAGAAGACCCTAGAACCATGAGCAACCTCAGCCAGTTTCAATTAATTCCTAACTAAATGGATCATTCAATTCCACAAATTGATATCAGACAAAACCCTAATACTCCACAGACATCAAAAGCTCCACATAATTGAAATTATAAACATCCAAGTCCCTAAATTACATAAAGTGAACAGATTTGTATGCTCAATTGACCTCCTGTTCCTACAACGAAACAATTAGACAAATGTCCATTCAATTATACTACCAAAAAAATCCTAGAACCGTGATCAGGATAAAACCCTAACACTCCGTAAACATCAAAAACATCAGCAAAATGGAAACGCCAGAAACTGAACCGATCGAAATTCTTTCATTGAACAAGATCGAAGCGATCATATTACCGACTGGTAATCGGAGTGATTGGCGGCGACGTCGTGCTCGGAATCGACCTCCTCTTCCTCCTCCTCGTCCTCCGATTGCTCACCGAAGAGGTTCTGCATCATTCGATTCCTCGTTTCGTCTCCGATCTCTCGATCGCCGGCCATTTTCTCTCGATTCTCTGAGAGCTTAGCGCTCTCTCTCTCACTCTCTCTCTCCTCTCTCTCTCTCTCTTTGGTCGGAAATATTTTTTTCTCCCCTATTTTCTGTTTTTAATTTTGGGGGCTAAACTTGGTCAAATACTCAGAATTTTGCTACTTTTTGCAGTTTAGCGCCTTTATGTTTTCTTATTTGCAGTCGCCTACAAGTTTCAGGATTTTGCCATGGAATATTCCATGCGAGAAAATTGTGACCCCTTACCCCTTCATAATTTGTTTATCCTTGCTCATAAATATATTTACATGATTACCATTGTTTTCATCTTATCCAAGTTCCCATGTTTGCTTTTGTTGTTTGTCGATTAAGTGTAGACCTGTCCAAACGGGCTGGCATGGCTCCTATTTCATGTTTGAGACGGGCAAAATACCTAGCCCAGACCACTACCCAAGGTGGCCAGACTAGTTTTTTTATTTGATTTTCTTTTGCAGAAAATTGCTAAAAATTATATTAGTCTTATTATATCTATATAAGTATACTTTAGCATATACTTACATATTATTATATAGCTACATATTGTATATACATATAATTATATGTAAGAATGTTGTATATACTTATATATTGTGAGAGAGAGGGTATCACATAAGTATAGTACTTATTTATAAATATGTATTATATAGTTATATATGTATTTGTTACATGCTTATATTATGCTTATTTAAGTATAGTTATATACTTTACTTATATGATATTTTTTATTTATACTAGATGCAATATACTTATATATAATTATACTTATGTACTTATATAACTATGATATACACATGTAAGTATACTTATAACTATATTACATATAATTATATACTTATATCTTACTATCTACACCATGGTAAAAGTATATATGTACGTGTACAATATAATTTACTTGTATAATTACAAGTATATATATAGGTGCATATGTAATATACTTGCGTACTTAAAAATATATATGATTTAAATATATGCATTTGCCTAAAATCACATGATTGAGCTACATTATGGATGATCCGCTCCGTTGAACTTGATCTACATATTCTAAAACCCCAACACACCAAGTTTGGGGTGAACCTGTCATCGTTTGACCATTCATCCATTTGTATCATTTTTAACGGTTTCGAATGAATAGAACTTTTCACATGGCTCGATGGAGGGTCAAACGACGATGAGTTCACCATAATCTTGGTGTGTTTTGGTTTTAGAATATGTAGATCAATTTCAACGGAGCGGATCATCCACAATGTAGCTCAATCATGTCATTTTAGGGCTTCACCAACCCAAGCCGGACCTGAAGGCCAGTTGGCCCTAATTTTTCGGGCCTCGTCCGGGCTCGGGCCGGGGTCAAGCTCGGTGGGGTCCACGCCGAAAGCCCAACTGAACACACCTAATTAAGAGCTAACATGTTTGTTCTCTATCATCCTTTTTCTATATTTATTTGTCATGTGCATGCCTTTTTGTTTTTTTAATCCATGAATTATTCTGATTATAGAAAGCTCGTATATTCTTCTTTTTCTTTTTCAGATTTGTGAATTATCCTTATTATGTAAAGCTCATGTTTTTTTGTTTTCTCTCTTTACTGTTTTATTTATTTTTTACGTGCTGTCATCGACTTGTATATTGTTTTTGGATTTCCAAATATATCATTTAGAAAATGGTTATTTAATTTTTAAAATACAATAGCTCCCTAGTTCTTACTATCAATTTATTTATGTATTTTAAACGGAAAAGATCCCATTAACTGCGTGTTTCCGCTATCACGATTGTTGAGAATTGTTCATTAGCAGAAGCATGATTTTTTCCTTAATCGTCGAAGATTCAAATGAGATTCTCTTTACAACATCTCATTTCAGAGTCTGAAACAATCCATTTGTACGAACCCACCGTTGTCTTTCCCTCTAGTGAATCACTGCAGTGTAATTTCAATAAACATCAATGCAGTTATCAAAAAAGGCTATCGACAATAAGGAATTTGATCATTTGAAGAGCCATGATCCCTTTATTGTACACTGAGTAGTAGGAGTTTTCTTCATAAATTTCAAGGAAGTTTATGATAACTAACATATTAAGTTAAATCAAACCCAGGCAACCTTTATGCTTACAAATGTATCGAAGGATAAAAGAAACACGTGATGTAATGATTTAATTTCATTTGACAAATCTTTTTCTTTATTGAAAGAAATATTTTAGGGAAAATCGTTAAGTGAACAAACTACCAACCTTTCACCAATATATCTACTACTTCTTTTAACTAAAGGAGAACAATAAGATGAACAGTAAATCCTAATCAGCAACTCCAACTAAGCATTTTATTTTTTTTATTAAAAGGAAAATTAATCCCCAAATAACCTCCTCAACATGTCCTCCTCTCTCTGATAACCGCCTCAATAAGAAAAAATTACTCGCTGACCACCCTCCTCTCTTCGATAACGCCGTCCCTCTCACTTCGCGCTCTCTCTCTCTCTCTCTTTTCACTTTCTCTCTCCTCCCCCAAAAGACCAGATAACGAAATACCACTTACCACCCCTGTTATAGGGTTTAGTCGCTGCTGACACCCAAAGTGCCTTCCCTCAGTTTCTAGGGTTTCGGATCTGAAGGAAATTTTGAAGATCATCAGATCTGAGAGAAGTTATTCGTTGACTGATGATCTAATTCCGGCGATCACGGGATCGATTAGAATTTACGACGATCGGAAGGGAATTCTAGGGTTTTGGGGATGGAATTTGATGAGATTTTACGAGATTAGCGTAGGATTTGAAGGCAGATGTTGTCGTTGAGGAGTAGGGATGAAGGGAGGAGGGGGAGGGGGTTAGGGTTTCGATCGATGGAGGAGTACCAGCTTGAAGAAGGAGAGTCCTTCTTCAAACGCAAGGACAATGCTTACATGGATCCTAAAGTCACATTCTCTTATATCGTAAGAAAACTTGGTTTGTTTGATTGTTAAAAGGTAAAAAAAATTAATGGGTGTAGATATCTGAATTATTTGTTTATAAGCCAAACACTGAAAATTATTTGTTTAGCACTAAATGAACTATCGAAATAATCAACCGAGGTGAAGGCATTAATTAAGGTTACATGGACATTAACAATGCAACTCTTGGTTTCTTCTGAAATGTTTAATTTCATCTCTTTTGGTTTTTATTTGGATAATAGGTCAAGCTAACTAATTTCTAGATTAAATTGTCGTAGTTGCACTTAAATGCCCTATAGTTTCACCTACTGGATATATATGTGCAAATTTGGTTAAACTGTAGGGTATTTATGTGCAACTAAGCCGCTTGAATTTGAAAACATATTTAAATAACTTATTGGAATTATAATGAAACACGTGAAAAGGATAAATGAAACTATATTTGAAGTATCATCTTGATAAGCAGCTGAGGAAAAAAGGATAATTACCACATTGTGTTTTAATCTAGATGCGATAGTAATACATGCGGGTTAGAGAGAGCACCACCATTGCCCTATTTAATTCAGTCTATCTTTTTTTTTGTTAGTATATAATGTTTTAATTCTATGTTAATTTTGTTACTTTGGTCCTTTTAAATTTTGAGTATTAGTTTGTATTTATATTTGCAACAAAAGCACATGTAAAGTTTTGAATTTTATTTAAAAATCTATTCATCAAGGTTGTATAGTATCGTAGGTGACTAATCTGTGTGTGGTTTGGTTGAAATTTATTTTAAATTCTATTCATCAAAGTTGTATTCTATAATAATAAAGCAATCTACATTATATATATTGAAATCAGAAGTACAATTATGTTACTAACTAAATCTTATTTCTGCTTTTTGGATAGAAATATAGGGTCTAATCTTCTCTGTTCTTCATTTCACATTAACATCAGCTTAGAGAACTGAAGGTATGATATATATTTTGTAATCAGTTTTCCTTGGTATGTTTCGATGATCTTTGATGCACTGCTATGTTAGGAGAAGTGAATTTTTTTATTAGTCATGTTATTCTCTTACTTGCATCAAGAGGTTGAAGATAAATTACAAAATATATTTTTTAATATTTTTATTACTCATGATATTGAATCAAACTTGATCGAATATCTGAACGAATAAAAAAGTAAATAGCACCCCTATACTTTATATTTAAAGCATAATACTTTATTTTGATAACATGTTTAATATTTGCAGAAAATCTTTTAGAAACCGTGCCTTGCACGGGTCTAAATACTAGTTGAGAGATAAAAGAACTAAAAAATAATAACTAAACTTTCAATAGGCCTTTATCTATTTAAGAAAACTAGTATGATGCACGTGAAAAAACTTTCGTGTTTATATGTAGCCCTATAGTTTTTATTGCATTGATAAAAAATTTCTATGTGACATATATTTGACAGATGACTTAGATAATATATATTAGGTTTTGATTGAATGACTTTTAATTGGTGATTTATGTTTGTTCTCATAAATGATTTGTCACTTTTATTAATTGATGATATAAATAGACGTTATAGGGGTATAACTAGGATCATAAAGAACACTCATTTGGCATAAAAACTAGGATATTGACAGAAAAAACCACAAAATAAATGAGGTAACCGAAATTATTTAATTATATGTCCACTTAATGTAGCAGAATCATATATTCTTTAAGTTTGACATAAATAGACAGAAGGGAGCTCAATTTGAGCAGCATTCATTAGATTCCAAAGATGCATCATTGTCGAAACTATAGAGAGCCATGGGGAATTGAGCTACAGCAAGACAATTTGATATATAACAACTAGATTCCATGACCTGCAGATGAAACTGAATCGAGCATGATCAGGCATTGTCAACTTCTCTATGATCAAACCTAACTATAAATGTTACATAAAGAGTGAAATCACCTTTGAGATCAAAGATAGTATGTTGCATTGTAAATAGTTAACAACTTTAATACACATCTTCGCTGCATATTAGAATGTTGTGTTAGATAATAATTGTCTAAAATATAAGTTGTACAAAATGTGCATCATAGAATGAAAAAATAACGAGACATGATTTTGATGAGGTGATTTACCTTTGAGATAATAATACTTCTGGATACACAATATTTTTCGAGTATGTTTTTGTTGTTCTTCTTGTTTGGTCAACTTTCACTATTACCTTAGTTGTTCTCATTGATATCTCCCATGATAATGCAACATATAATTGACCATGTGAGAATACATGGTGCGGCAAATAAACTCCAACATAAGGTATTGTTTATCACTGCGCTTTGTTGATTGTCATTACAAAATATAGTCGGATTGGAAATAATTTTCTACAAAATTGGAATGGATAACCCTCGTTTTCAACTGGAGATAATGATATTATCAGAATCATGACATTTTGACTAGAATGTTGACCAACTGTGATTTCAGCATGGATGACATTATCTTCATACCCTCTACAGATCATTTGTGTGCCATTGCACATTCCATTAGATGGATCAAGATTACGTAACAGCATGATCAAACAATTTATTTTAAGAATCAATTTGTGAGGCGAGAGTCTATTTTTCCATTATCAAAACCAGAGCATCTTTAAATGAAATGAATGTTGGTTTCAACTTCTCCAATGATACAAAGCTTTTTGTTTCTCGAATGATTATCTTTATTGTTAGAGCCAACTCCTTATGTGGATTAATTGTTGGATATTTCAAATTTGGAGGCTTTACTTCTCCCTTTGTTATAGTATACGTTTCTCCCTTTATCAATAAACAGCTGAAATTTTCTATCAGCTTATTAAATAATATTACTTGGATAAGTGTTCCTTGCAAAAAGCACAATGGACAATAAATCACGTTATCATGGTAATATAAAAATTACATGGAATAATAACAATTCAAAATTCATATCACGTAAGACACGAACATTTATACTTCATTGTTTCTGATAAAATTTTAACTCTCGGATCAGGATGTGGGCTTGATCATTACTTCCATATTGATCAAATGACAACCTTCATGAAAAAGAATAAAATATATGCATACAAACAAATGTGATGATGGGTGACTCTTCTGAAATATAGTGAAAAAGTATCATACTACTTTACAAATAAAAACATGTTTTTACTAACCTCTTTGAATCACATAGTGTTGCTTCCATCTCCTCCTGTTTTTTATTTTTTGGTAGGATTTGGTAAGATTTTGTAAGATGGAAGTTGTATATGGATTAGATTTATATGAGATTTGACTTATAACCGAATTATGTAGTAATAATGACTTGTCAAATAATTATGAAGTAACAGAATTAACATTAATGAAAAAATAGATGAGCATTTATTTTGGGTCTATATTCAAATACTCACTATAAAAAAGTATATATCTGCATACAAACATTTTGATTGTTAAGTCAGGCTACATTCCAGCTAATAATGATGCCAACGTTTAAATTTCATTATTACTAAATTAATGACTGATAATAATTTATAAATGTTATTATCATAAATGTTTTGATTATTATAATCATGAAAACACGTCTATTCAAATACTCACTTATACCCTCCAAAGCATTTGTTTTTCTGTTGTCCATAAATCATGAAAACACGTCTATTCAAATACTCACTTATACCCTCCAAAGCATTTGTTTTTCTGTTGTCCATAAATGTCAGTGTGAGTTGTGATATGAAGCTCACTTATACCCTCCAAAGCATTTGTTTTTCTGTTGTCCATAAATGTCAGTGTGAGTTGTGATATGAAGTAACAGAATTAACATTAATGAAAGAGATTAATATGATGATGGGAGGTTACAAAAGTGTAAGCAGCATAGTCATGATAAAATAAAATTATTTGATTCAACATAATGATGGTAAAATAAAATTATTTTGGGGTTATGAGTATGTATTTAATCGGGGTTATGTATGTATGGCTATGGTTTATATATGAATGCATGTATTTTATGTATGTATGTATACGTTTAAAAAGTCATTTTCGGAAGAATTTTTTTAACATACCAAGCCACTTTTATAATAGTACTAGTTTTTACACACGTGCAATGCACGTGATTTAATACCATGATTAAGTATTTTTGACAGTTTGTGCTCATTTTTTCTTTAAACTCTTACATCCCGATTATTTTTTTATGTTTGTTTAAATAGGATACACCCAATTAAAATTTTCATATTGATATTTGAATTGACAAAAAACAAATATAATTTAAAAATAATTTGAATTTTTATATTATTTTTGACCGATATGAAACTAAGCTTTATTTGAGAACGTATAGCATTGCAAAGTGAAAAATATTAAAATAGTGTTATACAAGGAAGGTGAATATTTAAAACCAATATGGCAAAATGATTGATTTAAAGTATGTTAAAACGATGCAAAAGAGAATATGAAGTTTATTCCTAATCATTGATAGACTTCATAAAAAAATATAAATTAAATATTAATACTAACTCTAGTATACTTTTATATGATAAAAACATCCACATAAGAATATAAAAGTACTAAAAAAAATTCATGAAACTCCCTTCTAAAGATTCCTAATTTCACTCAAAATAATTAAACTATCCTATAAAATATTCAGAAAATATTGTTTTTTATTTCTTCTATTTTATTTTTTATTGAGTTAAGATCAATCATTCTTCAGGTTTATCATTTATCATTTATCGGGCAATTCTAGAGTATTGTCTTTATCATCTACATCAATTGTGACATCAGGCTAATTTTGTATTTTTTATGCTATTATCTTTCCTGGGCTCGTTAATTTTTTATCATCTCATTTAACTCTACAAAGAAGTCAAATGTACTTATGATGTTCAACACAAACTGCTCAAAATATAGACTTTGATTTTTTTTCTATTTCAATGAGAATAAATATTAATTTCATATATATAAAATTCTTTGTGTTCCTAATTTATTACTTAAATAAATTAGAAGCTATCTCTTTATTTTCCTCTAAAATGAATTCTTCTGATGTGCATCCAATAAGAATTTCTGTTATTTCAATAATATTACCTTTGCTCTATCCCTGTCATTTTCCATAAAGATCTAAACTAAATACCTGCATTATTCATTACCAATTTCTCTTAGATTATAATATTAATATTTAATTTGAAGAACACAGTATGGAATTTATGAATACTTACTAATTTTTCTTATGTCTTCCATGGAGATTTTTTTTAAAATTTTGAAAGATTTTTTAAAAAAATTTACTTTTAAGTTTGGTAGTTGTAAATTCTATGTTTCATGTGTTGGTGGTAATTTTTTAAATGTTAGTATATTTCTTGTAACTCTAAAATTTTGAAGGTGTCTTTTACAATTATTAAAACTATAGATTAATTTTAAAAAATATTAAATTTTAACGGTCTACCAATTGACGAATTTGATTTGTGCTAGTTAAAAATTTTAAAAATTTAGAGTTTTTTTTACGATTTTTAAATTTTGAAGGAGTTTTTTAAAAATTTTGAGGTTAATTTCGGCAAATTTTAATTTTTTAGGTGTCTAAGGGTAATATCTTGAATTCATCTTATGTTATTTACAAATTTTAGAATTTTAGGGTGGCTTTTTATAATTTAAACTTTTAAAGGTGTTTCTATAATTTTTGAGCTATTAAGGGTATTAATTAAAAAATTTAAATTTAAATGTCAAAAATTTTAGGTGTATCATGGTAATATGTTGAATTCATCTGTGTTGTTTGTAAGTTTTAAAATTTTAGAATTTTAATGTGCTTGTCTGTAATTTAAACTTTTGAGGGTGTTTCTATAATTTTTAAGACATTGATGTGTTAACTGTAAATTTTAAATTCTTTGCAAACTGATGTTAATTTTTTAATTTCATGTTTTTTATTTTAAGTTTTGAGACATTGGGATGATTTTTATAATTTTTAACTTTTCAGGGTGTTTTCTGCAATTTTAAAACTTTTAATGGTTTTTTTGCAATACTTCATGTATTATAATCTGTTATCTACTTGTAATTTCTTTATCTTAACAAACTAATATCATTTTTATGTTTTATATATTTTATTAATATTAGTTTTTTTAAATTGTTAAGCTAAACATGGTTCACATAGGATTAAGATAAGATATGATTATGATAGATTAAGATATAAATAAAATATTCAAAATAATGAAGGGTAATATTGACTATTGAAAATTAGAATTTGATTATAGATAAGGTAGTTCAAACTATAAAGGGGTATATTTGTCTAAAAAAAATTTTCCGAACTCGTGCTTTTAAAGGGAGTATGATATGATATGATTAGTTTAGATTAGATTAGCTTAGATGATGTAATAAGTGATCAATCATGCTATTATATGAAAAACAAAATTAAAAATAAAGACAGACGCCCACCGTGGGGCTCGAACCCACGACCACAAGGTTAAGAGCCTTGCGCTCTACCAACTGAGCTAGACGGGCTGTTGTGCTATGTCAGGCTTCCTTTAAATAAGACCTAAAACAAAATTTGATTTAGAACAAGGCTACTTACGTAATTAACTTGAAAAACTTAGGAAAACAGGGCAGTATAAAGTTGGCGAGCCGCCACCCTGAAACCCTAGTGCTGCTGATCGAGGGTTTCCAAGATGTCGAAGCGAGGTAACAACCTCTCCGATTGATCCATTTCTTACTACTATTTTCTATTTTCTGTATTCTTAGCATTCGAATTATCGTACATCATTGATACGATCCCCCGCCAGATCTTTTCATTTACTGTTGTCGGCCTTAATCCAACGATCTGGGGTTCTACTGATCTGGGATCTCCTCTTTAGTTTTGGGAGGACGATCCCTCGTTTCCTTCGTTAGCATTTCGTTCGTTTATGCAGCGGTTGTGCGCGCGCTTATAAAAAAATATAAAGCATGAAAAATTTAGCACAGGGGTCGAGATGGAAGATTCAAGGACGTTATATTTTGAACAAACTATTGCGGTTTGCCAAATAATTCTGTCGCATAATCAAGAGCAAAATTATTGTTTTTGAACGCACATGTACGCAGTGATGTAAATTTCATTCCATGGCTCTACTCCCCTTTTAAGATCCAACTTTTATAAGTGTGATATGAACATTAAGTTGTGCTCACGTTTGATACCTTTATTTTGTTATGGAAGAAATTTTCTAAACAAACCCATTCATAATTTTTTTTTCTAAAAATAGACCCCCCTTGAGTTTTTTTTTTACAAAAAATCGACCAATTTTGTTTTAATCCGTTTTCTAAAATAGTTGGGGTTGCCAACCCCGACTATTTAGTGCATAGAATGTTAGGGTTTAGGGTTATAATTGGGGGTTTACAACCTCCTAAATAGTCGGTGTTGACAACACTGACTATTTAGGAACCTGATTAAGATAAAATGAGTCTATTTTTGTAAATAAAACTCAATGGGGGTCTATTTTTAGGAAAAAAATATGAATGAGTTTATTTAGAAAATTTCTTCTTTTGTTATGTAATAAAGGGCAAATGGCTAAGAAACACTCAGAAACGTTGAGCACATGCAACTAAACTTTGATGGGTCCTGTCTAGTCTCGCCATGCGATTGATTTTCTTCCCTTCTTGATATGACTACTATTTGCCCATGTTCCTCGATTTATACACTGGATATACTTCTATTGGCTACTAGAATGTACACTCTCGGGGGGCCTGCTTCCGTGCGCTATCTTTCTATATGTGTCGTGTTTGGTCCTCTAGAAGTGAATGAGCATATTAATCTGGATTGTATTTGTAGGGCGTGGTGGTTCTGCGGGAAACAAGTTCCGGATGTCACTTGGTTTACCGGTGGCAGCAACTGTGAACTGTGCTGACAACACCGGAGCAAAGAACCTGTACATCATCTCAGTGAAGGGGATCAAGGGTCGTCTGAACCGTCTGCCCTCTGCATGTGTCGGTGACATGGTGATGGCCACTGTGAAGAAGGGGAAGCCTGATCTCAGGAAGAAGGTCATGCCTGCTGTCATTGTGAGGCAGCGCAAGCCTTTTCGCCGAAAGGATGGTGTTTATATGTATTTTGAAGGTACTGCCGCTTCTGCACTTGTGTCTGCTGACTTTGCTGTTGCTAGCTGATCTTGATTCGCTTTTAGTGTCTTGACAAATTTGTTCTTTGTTGGCAACTGCAGATAATGCTGGAGTCATTGTGAATCCAAAGGGAGAAATGAAAGGTAAGGCAGACAGTGCACGAGATATTCTGTTTAATATGTTGCTTCATCTACAGGGGCGGAGCTACGACCTTTTGAATGGTGGTTCAAAATATAGGGAAACAACAAAGCATAGATATAAATAGAGAGAGGATTAGGTTTGGAAAAAATATATGGTCTGCCTGGTTTCGAACCAGGGTCCTCAGGCTACATAAACACTTATCCATTCCATATTTATCCGCTGGACTAAAGGCTCCTTTTGGTTTTACATCTGATATATATGGTATATAAAGTAGTTTTCAAAATATGAGGTGGTTCAAGTGAACCACTTTGAACAGGCATGGCTCCGCCACTGTTCATCTATGATATATAGCATGGATTAAATTGATTAGTAAACTTGACTCGTATAGAGCGAAACGACGGTCTGTCGAGTATGCTCCTATTTATCCCGAAAACAAAAAACAATACTACACACACAACCAATCTGGTGTACGGAACTCGTGCATCGATCAGATGTTACTCTTTTACCCCTTAATGAATCTCTGATGTAATTCGTATCGTGTTATTTCACTGCAGGTTCTGCCATCACTGGGCCTATCGGGAAGGAATGTGCTGATCTATGGCCAAGGATTGCTAGTGCAGCTAATGCCATTGTGTGAAAGCTGGACATTTATCGGACGGAAGTTTAGGGAATTTGAATAGATTTTGGAGAGTTTTGTCTTTTCAGATTTCTGTAAACTGTCTTCAGACTCTGTTGTTGTTTGTGTCTGCTGCTTGTTCCTAGGAGTCTTCTAGTTTGCAATCTGTTCTCAGAAAACTAGCTTTTACTATATAGTTTCATCTGATGCTCGAGACATTGCTCTTTTTTAAATCTTATTATCTATGTCATTGGCTATATTTTTGCTTTTTTCTTTTATCTTCTTATTTTTGTCATTAGCTATTATTTTTTGATTAATTTCTGCTCATCTAAAGAGAGAAGCGGATGGGAAACGCGTGCCATGAGTTGCGCGCAGTTCCCAGTATTGAGTTGGTTTATAGAAGAAATTGATAATGTTTTCTCTAATTGATAATGTTTTTTTTTGGCCGGCAAGCTTTAATGTGTTGCTTGATAAATCAAAACAGTAAGGTTTAAAATGGATTATGGCCTTTAGAAGTCCGATCTTATTTTAAACTGGGATATGGGTGTTAAAAATAGCATTTTATTTTGGGAGGCAAAATCATACGGGTAGCTTGTTCATAACTTTATCATGTTCATCTTCATAACATAAATTCAGAATTTTGCATGAGTACAATTTTCATGGCAACAAACCTATAATTGTGAAAGAGAGATCTGATATTTGTAACTGAACATTACATGAATTCAGTTGGTAGCAAATACCACTTTATTGTGCAAATGAATGCAACCCTCACAAGAAAATTTTCCATTAAAAAGTATTTTACAGATGGAATACATACGCACAAGTCTATAGTACACACTCTGAATTAATTTGAAGAAAATTTGGGATGTGTAAGCCAGCAGAATATTTGCAGGTAGTTTCTCTTTACGGCAGAAAAGCACACGCTCGCACGCTTGAACCTCTCCCCTACAAGTCCACCAGAACACTATACAAGTCAAGTGATTGTGGGGGAAAAAAAAGAAAGTTTCTATATATTCAAAATTTGTGCTAAAAACACAAGCATGACAATTGACAGTATGCAAATCCTTGTGAGTAGCCAAAACTTCCACATGATTGCACTATCATCAACACCATCTAAGCACAACCGAAAAAAAGAAAGAAGAATATTACGATCAAAATCTTAATAAGAAGAGGTGGGAAAAAAATCGATAAGAACTGGATACCTGACAAGGTCTCAATTCAAGCCCAAGTGAAGTCACCAGCGAACTCTTTGTTTCCCTCCAATAAAAACACTTCTCTGCGACTACATTTTAATACAATAAAATTGTTCCATCTGCAGCTAGAAAAGTGAAATGGAAGAACACAAAGGCAAAGGTCGAATATAAATTATTAACATGTGGAGGAGCACAACCAGAATAACTGGTCTCACATTTTCAAGCCAAAGAACTCCAGGGAGTTAAAAGCCTGGACATCATATTCAGAATGTAGTTCATTTTCCCCACCTCCATTAGTAGCTAATAATAGCTTAAAAGAAAATCCCTGTTTGCAAATGAACTAACATGAAAACCTTGGATACATATGGCGTGATATTTTTCAGAATGAACACTTCTCATCTGTAGGAAGAGTTCAAATGAATGTTATAACCGTAACAGAGAAATATAATACAAAATTTAAAAACAATTAATTACTAAGCTCAAATCTGTAGAGTGAATTCATAATATAGCTCCAATAAAAATGCTTCTTATTTTAAAATGAGAATGGCAATCATACTGTACAGATACAAACCAAAACTATATCAACGAAAAGGGGCTCTAAAAAAAGAGAACATGAAAGACAGTGGAGAGCTCAGATTTGCCCTGACATCAATCATGAGAATTGTCCCCTACCAAACAACCCTGAATGAATAACACCCCCTTAGGAACAAACCAACACTTTTCCCTGAATAGGTCTGCAGATCTAGCAAATGGCTGCAAAGTTGACAAGATGATATAAGTTGCCAACAATTGCCTCACCATCACAGTAGAAAACTGCAGAAACAGGAAAAGAGAAAATCTGACAAATAGATACACAAAACCCTAAACCCAAACCCTAACCCTGAACCAAAACCAATACATTCCAGCGATGCATCATAATACACTTTTGTAGGCAAATCATCACAGCTTCTCCATGGTTTTTAAAAAGGAAACTTGTTCACTACAATTTAAGTCGATGATAAACAGAGGAAAAGAGAAGCAACAACAATGATGATGGTGATGATGACAATAACAAGAAGAAACACTAAGGAGCTGTTTGGTTGATTGCCAGAAGAATATGTAACACATGTTAAAGCAACAGTGAAGCTTAAGAGCTGCCTACTATGCTTCCCCTTTGAATATCTAGCACATGGCTGCAACGGCTCCGTAACTTATAACACTTGAAAGTTGCCTCACCATTATAATAAACAAGCAAAAAGATAGCAGCAAAGGCACTCAAGTTCACAACCGCATTTTAAAATCATCTGTTTTGCAGTTAAGCAATTGCCAAGGCAACTGGTGGCACACAAATCATCAGTACCATCTTATGATATCCATATAAACACAAGGAGAAGAAAAAGGAGCAGCAGCAGTAACAACAGATCAAAGACCTACTGATCCATATGAAATCTCCCTTCTAGTGATTGACTGCAGCTGGCTACCTCGCCACATCATCTAGAATTAGGTATTGTCAGTATCATGGATCTTGAGGTAAAATTAATCTCGCGTTTAAAGTAGAACTTAGGTAGGCTTAGGGGCTGTTCGTTTCGCCAAAAAAATTGGGAAATCAAAGAATAGGAAACCTATTTCCTATAATAATTGTTTTGAGGTTGTTTGGTTGGCTTAAAAAAGAAGAAAACTATAGAATAGGAGATGAGTTGTCACCTTATTATTGGATGATGTGAGTGATTTTTAAAAAAAACTTGTTTTGAGGTTGTTTGGTTGGTTAAAAAAATAAGGAAATGAATTGGAGGTATATTATTGGATGATGTTTTGAGGTTGTTTGTGTTTGGTTCATTTTTAAAAATAAGAAAATAGATGAGATGAGATGAGTTGGAGGTATATTATTGGATGATGTGACACATACTTAAGGAAATCAATTTCTTTTTTTTTTTGAGGAAATGGATGGAAAGGAAGGTTTAATGAGATGAGTTGTCACAATATCATTGGATGATGCGTGTGATTTTTTAAAAATGAGATAAGATGAGATGTGATGAGTTGGATGATGTGACACATTTCTTGTGTTTGGTTTATTTTTAAAGGTAAGAAATGAGATGAAATGAGATGAGTTGGAGGATAAAAATATTATTTTATTGGATGTTGTGGGTAAGTTTTAGGGATGGAAATGGATAAAAATATTATTTTATTGGTTTCCTAGTACCGATTTCCTTTTCTTGGTTTTTAGGAAACAAACCAAACGGCCCTTTAACAGTAAATTCATCAAACACTAAAGAGTTAAAAGTGTTAAAATTAGCACGTGACTATCACTTTGAGAATATTCAAAAACTTCAGCGTATATAACTGCTGCCAAAAACAAGTGAGGGTATATAAATGCAAAGTAAGGGAAACTTGTGGTATTTAAGTACCAATTAGCCAATTGTTAGCATAAAAATAACATCCAAGCTATGTTACTCAGGTACTTCTATCATGAAGCCGTACTCGTACCTGACCCCTTCCTGAATCGAAACTTAAGACACTCTTTGGATATATGCATACATTTATTCAGACACGCACTCAAATATATGATATATGTTTTAATTTAAAATACTTTCCATACACTTCTTGAATATATATCCTACAGTTCACGTTCATTTCTTGAAACTCATTACACATGGGTTAAGTTTGTTTCAGCCCACACCCAAGTTCAAAACTACAACATTGAAGGGTCGGTGTATAGTTAAAAAACAAGCACTTTCCAGTTTATAATAATCAACATAGCTAAAGATATGAATTTAATTCTAGTGACACATGAATTGAAAAACAATAACAATCTCATGTAAATTATTAATTTCAATACATATATGTAGCCGTCAATACATATATGTAGTCGTGTCCCCGTACCCTACATTTAAAAGTTTACTGAGTCCCATACCCGCATCCACACCTGTACCCATTTCCATGCAACATAACATCCAAGTTTCGGCGTAGTAGAAAGAACAAGACCAACTTGATTAAGGCAGCCCTGCTTGAGATCCGCTAATTTACAAATTTGAGCAAGCAAAAAATGGAAAAAGGCATTTCCTCGCATTATTCTATCACTAGAGCAGTAAACGAATCTGATATAGATCCGATAAAAGGCTCAGGCAACAAATATCCACATGGTTGCAAGCCATGATCGAAGTAATACCAGATGGTGAAATAGATGCAAGTGCAACATCAGTTAAGGTCCAGGTAAGGGTTTTCAGAAGATGCCATAGCAAGAACAAGTATTTGCTTGTTAACGAGAAAAACAATGATCTCCAATACTCCCACAAAGTCCTATTTAGTACGCAAGGAAGGCTCAGCTTTGAGTTCTAGCAATAGGATTATTCTTCTTCATAAATTCCCATTCCAAATGATTGACTGCAGCACTTTGCTACCTCGCCATATCATTTAGGTTTAGGATTTTGAGCATGATTCTCAAATTCATCATCGCCCTTCATCAAGATAGTGCCTAACAGAACTGAAATGGAAGAATTGGAGTATTGCAGCATGTTGTTGTCATTGTATTCTCTTCCTAATGAATGACTGCAGCAATTTTAAGAGGAGATTTCGTGCAGTTTTTCATACCGACTTTGAGAGGGTTTTTGTATCCCTTTTGTGAGAGATTTGAGAGATTGTTTGAGGGTTTTATTTGTGAGACCTTGTGTAATTGTAAACCCTATTTGTATTCTCTTTCTCTCTAATAGTAGATCTCCCCCCTCCTTACCCCGTGGACGTAGGCAACGTGCCGAACCACATAAAATTCGTTATCTTGCTGTGATTTGTAATAGCTTGTTAGGTTCCCTCAACAAGTCAGTCCTAGAACTGATGAGAGGAAGAGTGTATATCCCACTTTGTTGAGATATTAGGTTCCCTCAACAAGTCAGTCCTAGAACTGATGAGAGGAAGAGTGTATATCCCACTTTGTTGAGATATATCACTTTCGATTCAGTCCTAGAACTGATGAGAGGAAGAGTGTATATCCCACTTTGTTGAGATATATCACTTTCGATTCTTATTTCCTTTGTGAAACAGGGATTTAGCTGTGATCTTACTCTCTTGTTGTGCACCAGAAGTGCTGCCGAAATTTCCGTTGCGCACAACAGTTTCACCCCTTTTTAACTTGGGCTAATTCCACACAGAGCCCATGTGGTATCACTATTTTGAACTTACTACCCCTGTAGTTTCATTTTTGCAGATAAATCCAAAGACCCATTCAACTGCATGAAATCCCCCTCCTGGTGATTGACTGCAGCTGAGGTACCTCGCCAAATCATTTAGGATTAGCGTGTTTGGCAACACGAATCTAAATGATTGACTGCAGCTGAGGTACCTCGCCAAATCATTTAGGATTAGCGTGTTTGGCAACACGAATCTAAAAGGTAAATTACACTAAAAGGTACCTCGCCAAATCATTTAGGATTAGCGTGTTTGGCAACACGAATCTAAAAGGTAAATTACACTAACTTTCAGCACTTTGCAGTAAACCCCTAATAACTTTCAAAATCACACTAAACCACCAATAACTTTTGATATTGCAGAAAACCCCAATTTTCTGCATTTTTGCAGATAACCCTCATAAATTAGAACAAAAAACAACATGAAAAAAGGCATTTTGAAAGCTATCAAATCATTGAAATTGCTATTAATTCCCTCAAATCCATGCAAAGGCTAACAGTAGGGGAATCTAATGACCCATTCATCTGCATGAAAGCCCCCTTCCTAGTGATTGACTGCAGCTGAGCTACCTCGCCAAATCATCTTGGAAGAGGGTTTTCGATATCATGGATTTCAAGGTAGAAAGATACCCATGCCCAAATGTTAACAGTATAAAAGGCTTATTTGGGCTCAAATGCTCCCACGTTTCACCCCTCTTTACTTGGGTTGATTGTACATAGACACCCCCTTAGTATCGCTGTTTTGAACTTACTAACCCTGCAGTTTCATTGTAGCAGATCAATCTAAAGATCCATTAATCTGCACGAAAACCCCTTTCCTAGTGGATTGACTGCAGCTGAGCTACCTCGCCAAATCATCTAGAATTAGGGTTTTCAGCATCATGGATCCTGTTGATCCGGAAGGGCACGGGTTCGATTGATTGTTTCGAATCCCCAACAGATCCAAAATTATAACCCGTCAAAGACAGCGAGACCAATAGCGATCAGATCGAAGGCTCATGCGTGCAACAGATCATGAACAACTACCAAAATCCACGCTTTTACAAGGCAAAAACAAAGTAAATCTAGATGACGAAGAAGACCCAAACTTGTTACCTCAATTAGGGTCAGGGTTAGGGTTAGGGTTAGGTTTCAGCCAATGCCATAGCCAGGAGTAAACAGGAAGGAAAGGGAGAGACTTCACCATAATAATGGCGGACATCGCCATCAGAGGATGAACTAGGGTTTCGCCTCTCCTGTTGCGGTCTCAGCTCCATTGGAGAGCGCAAAGTAGCGAAGCGACAGCCCAAAAGGCGCGCTTCTCGATTATGGGCAGTTGCCAGAATATGACTGTGGGCATATTGTCATTTCGGCCCAACCAACGTTGATCCATCTAAAACAAACAATTAATAAGCTTTGGGCCATCATTGCCATTACGGCTGGGCCTAAAAATGGTGTTAAGGCTGTTCTTACTCTCGGCTGCCCCTCTTATAAGGGCCTATTTGTTTGTCAATTTTTTGGGGCGTGTTAGATGACAGGGGCCACAGTTAGCTGCGTAGCCATTAGCAACCCCTCAGTTTTTCTCAGAAAAAAAGCAGTGAAATGAGCTCGATCTACTGTAGCTGTCAGATACGGCTGGACCATTCACTTCTCTGTCACTATAACTACTGCGCATTTTTACATAAAGCAACCAAACAGGCCCTAAGTGGGGCTCACAAAATACACGGGATCAAGAAAAAGGTGGGACCCACGAAATCTAATGGACATGATTGGAGCCCACCTGCCCCTTCTCTCTTCCCGCAGGTGAGTAAACGGCCTGTTTAGTTAGTTTTGACGAAGCAAATCTAACTAGAATAAAAACTAAACCGAATAAAATCGGTTTGGTACAGTCCGGTTTTTGTTTGGCCTAGACATGCTAAGTAGGAGAACTTTTTAGTTAAAAACAAGATTATATATTTACTCATCTAAAATTTTCATTCATCTCATATCCCAAGTGGAACAAATAACTCAACTATTTCACAAAGATAGATAAAATTATTAGTATAAATTATATATTCACCTAAAAGGAGCGTGAGTTGTAGACAATTACGTTACAAGCGTCCGATTCAGTTATTTCGGTTTTAAATAGTTTTGCCAACACTAAAATCAAACTTTTTTCTTTTTTTCCTTTTACGTTCATTTTTTTAAAAATCTTTATGGCAAAAATTCTGTTCTGGGGTTCTATGATTTTCTTGATCCCTTCTCTCTCGTTATTTGATTAAGCCCTACAACGATAAAGTTCTGTTCCTCAAGCATTCAAAGGTGAGGTTTTCCATTCTTTTTTTATGTTTATCTTTATTTATTTATTTTATGGTGAAATTTCTTTATTTTAAATCTTTCCTTTGGTTTGCAATCCAATAATATGAAACAGACAGACGAGAGACAACGAGAGTGCATCATCAACACAATATTTGATGGCATGTTTCACATTTGCAACGTGATTACTCTATATCAGGCATATATTTAATGATGTATTTTGTTGGATCTGAGATCGTCCTGATAGTATTTTGTGAATCTCTTTAGGACACTCTGCTATATATAATATAGACAATTATATGTGGCAGCACGCACTATTTTACTTTCTAATAGCAAATAATTCAATGGGAACTTCAAACGAAATTGCACATTCCCCCTCTATGAAGAACAAGTTTTGAAAATGAAGAGCAATGTAAATAATGCAACTTCGGCACGGGTGCTTACGTGCTCGGTGCGCACAATGTTCTCATATGCAATGTTCTTTAAACGGGAGAACCTGTAATTTCAACTGTAACACTAGGCTGTGCTTATCATGTTTTAACTTTACCAAGGGCTTTTTGTGTTTCATAGCAATTTCTCTCATAGACGCATCGCGTATAGCTAATAATTACAGATTCACCCTAAGAGTCTGTTTGGCAATAGACTGAAAAAACTGGGCCAGTTCTGATCTTAGCTCGGTTATGTTGTGAACTAGTTCTAGTCTGGACCATGGAAAGTCTGGTCCACACTAGAACTGGTTTAAGACCATGGAAAGTCTGGTCCACACTAGAACTGGTTTAAATGCCAAATTTTGGCCTAACAAAACAAGACTAGTAGTGGCCCAAACACAAAAGCATTAAAGATTGGGTTTAGGTTTGAACCTGACCCAATTCTAAAAGCTTGCCAAACACACCCTAAGACTTTACTATAGTGAGACATCTACACAATCCCATGCAAGCAAATTTTAGTCCACCATGACCATATCCGTTTGGTAACCATTGATGCCTTTCCCTTGACGGAAAGAAAGGCAATGTTACAAAAGAAGCAGCATATTTGCATGAGTGCAGAAGCCACAGAATAGGACACTGATGCACATGACGACATCATGATACCAATTTTTATATAGATAAACCTACAGTAATGAAAGAGAGCTGAAATTTAAAAATGAGCATTACATGAATTCAGTTGCATCAAATACCATTTTGAGGAGCAAATAAATACCATCTCACAATAAATCTGGCCATTATAAATGAATACACCATAAGCCTAGAGTTCACGTTCTTTTGAGTTAATTTGCATGACAATTTAGCATGTATAAAGCCGACAGAGTACTTGCACAGCTTCTCTTTACAGCAGAAAAAAGATTGTGTGGCATTTGAAGCTATTGGACCTCCTCCCCCACATAGCCAGCAGACATAGGTCAAAGTGATTGGAAAAAGAAAGTTCCTACAGCATTTAGGCCAAGGATGTAGCTAAGAAAACACAAATATTATGATCGCCCGTATGCATATCGTTGAATAGCCAAAACTTCAACATGATCAAACTACCACCAAACATCAACTAAGCACAATAAAAAAAAAAGAAATAAAAGGGGGAAAAAAAAGAATATTAGAATCAGTGCAGACCTCGCCAACATCATCAAAAGCTTAGTAAGGGTAAGAAACCAACAAGAACGAATACCTGACTAGCCTCCATTCAGCCCAAGTCAAGACACCTGAGAAGTATTTATTTTAATCCAATATAAAAGCACCTTTTATCCGCAACTACATTTCCACATAATGAAATTCTTCCGTCTGCAAGTAAAACAATGTGAAAGGAATAGAAAACATAAAAATAAGTTGAATATATAAAATTGGCATCTCGTGAAGCACAACCAGCATACCTGATTTAACAACTCCAGAAGGAAAATGGAAGTGATACTATAGTTGGGCATATTCTGAACGTCATTCATTTTCTTAACCCTTATCATTAGCTAATAATAGCCTGCAGATGATAATGTTCACTAGTAAATACTGCGAGAAACATTCACCTTCGCAATCTAATTTTTGTGCCTATATAATGTTAAGAAACCAGACATGAGAAAGTTTTAAAATGTATTATCCTGTTTGCAAATGAACTAATGTGAAAATTAAGGATACATTATAAGTCTTTAGCAATAATTTTTGGTATGATTACTTACAGTGGCAATCGTCTGTAGGAAGAGTTCACTGCGCTGTTAGACAGAAATAAAGAAATGTATTAAATAAAAAAAACCTGACATCAGGCTGTAGACTGAATTAATGACATAGCTCCAACAAAAACACTTCTTGGTCTAAAATGAGAATGAAAATTACACTTACAAGAGCGTAGCCAGGATTCAAACTTCAGAGAGGCCAAAGGCCTATGGCTTATGGGCTTTGAGCTTTGGCTCAAGAATTAGGCTTTCGGGGCTAGGATTGGAGGGGGCCACTCTGTCGCTGACACTTTGTTGATTAAAATCAAAACTCATTATGGGTGGTCAAGAAAATGGGTTACTCACAGAAAAACAAAGAAAAATAAAAAGAGAAATCGTGAAAAGTTGGTGGAGAGCTCAGATTCGCCCTTTTATGAGAAAATAGATTTGCTAGGAAAAACCAACTCTTTCCACTCTTTAGATCTGCAGATCTAGAAAATGGCTGCAAAGTTAACAACATGATATATTTTCAACAATTGCCTCGCCATCACAGTAGAAAGCTGCAGAGACAGAAAGAGAGAATTTGATAAATAATCACCTAAACCCTAAACAAAAATACTAATCCTAACCCTACACCAAAACCGACATAATTCACACTTCTGTTGGCAAATCATCACAGCTTCTCCACATATTTGTTAAGGGGCTGTTTGGTTCGTTATTATAAAGGGTGGAAAACTCAGAAAACCCCTCCACGTCAGATTTTTAGCCCTCCACATCAGTTTTTTTGTTTCCGTCCATTTCTTTGTGCCGCTTTGGTTCGCTCAGATGGAATAGGGAAAACTCTGCTGAAATCGCCGCCAGCTCAGATTTTTTTCCCTCTCCGATTTCTTTCCCCAACCGAGTGAAATTGATGAAAACTCTGCCACGTCAGATTTTTTTCCTTATCTGCTTTGTTTACAAAAGTTTTTCTTTTTTTTCTATGCGAACCAAACACAACAAAAATAAATACATTGGTTTCTCATCATTTTTTATGTGCGAACCAAAGCAAAACAATCTATTTTTTAGAAAAGTTTGAAAAACTCAAAACTTGTATTTCTTTACATGGAATTGCATTTCTCTATATCAAGGAAACGAACCAAACAACCCCTAAAAGAAAAACAAAAGGTTTAAAAAGGAAACATCCACGGCCTGACACATGTTTTAAGGACACAAACAAAAGTTGACCAGAAAATAGTTTGAGGTGGTTGATTGCAACCAAAACCCACTTCAAAGGTGGCTTATATATTAATTGAACTTAAGAGGCAATTTTTATATTTTCACCCTATTTTAAAGGCCCTTTAGAGGTGGTTTCTGTGAAAAAACAGAGTCATTTGGGAGGAAGGCTTAGATTTGAGATTCAGCAATAGGCATGTTCTTCATAAATTCCCATTCCTAATGACTGACTGCAGCAATTTTGCTACATCACCACATCAATTAGGTTTATGTTTTTGAAGATCATTTCAAGTACATCATCACTGTTAATGGAGATGGCACTTTTAAGAACTGAAATGGAAGAATACTCTTAATGCAGTAGAACCAAAAATTTGTTGTTGTTGTTGTTGATGACTTTCCTAAAGAACGGCTGCAGCATGTTGCTACCCCGCCGCATCACGCATCAGTAAGAACAAGGGTTAATTGCGGATAGAACCCCAGTAAAATTGCCCAATTGCAGATAGATCCCCTGCTGCAGTTCTGTTGTTGCAGATATACGCCCTGAATGAATACTTTAACTCTCACACTCAAGAGAGAAAATTGTTTTTTCACAAACAGACCTCCTGAGGGTAAGAAGAAGAAGAAGAAGAAGAAGAAGCAACTGAGAGAGAAGCAGCAGTGACAGAAACAACATAGATGAACAATTAGGGAAATCGAAAGACCCATTCATTTGCATGAAACCCCCTTGCTAGTGATTGACTGCAGCTGTGATAGCTCGCCACAGCATCTAGGAATAGGGTTTCAGCAATCAGCATCATGTATCTCGAGGTAGCCACTTGCCGAAATGTTAGAATTTAAAATTGTAACAGCAACCGGCTCAACAAGCAATACAAATTTTTTATCTGGAGCTATAGGGTTAATGATTGACTGCAGCACTTTGCTACTTCGCCATATCAATTAGGTTATGTGCAAAACCTCCTGCAGCAAAACATCTTCAAGATTCATTTAAACAGAAAAAAAACATCTCCAAGGTATTTAATGGAATTAAAAAAATTCATGGGGATTATGTGCAAAACCGCTCAAACTTCAGGGGGATTTTGATGGAATTTAAATAGCTAAGATGAGTTGTCTGCTAAGTTACCTCGGTACTTCTAATCTGAAGCTTCACCCTAAGCGACCCATACCTGTACTCCTTGGACAGTCCTTGCATATATGCATACATTTATTTGGGCATGTACTCAACTATACAATACATATTTTGAATTAAAACACTTGTCATACATTTCATGGACATATATTCTACACCTCACATCCACTTGAAACTCGTTGGACATACTTCAGGTTCCGAATTATAAACTTGAACGGTCATTTGATGTCTAGTTCAAGAATAGTGATTTTCCAATTTATAATCTACATAGGAAAAGAATGTTACAGAAACTTTAATTCTCATCCTTGTTCTCAGAAAAATTATTAATTCCAATATATAATATATGTGTATATAAATATTTATATAGTCATGTCCATGTACCCTATTTTTTACAAATTTGCCATGTCCCGTACCGGTACTTGTACCCATACTTGACTGCAAAACCCCCCAAAGGGGGATTTTTAAAATTAGCCATTAGAAAATATTTATAAAAAATGCGTGGAATGCTCAGATTTGCCTTTATATCAATCATTAGAATTGTTAGGAACAAACCAACTCCTTCCCCTCTCTAAGTCTGCAGAACTAGAAAATGGCTGCCAAGGTGACAACATGATAAAAGTTGCCAACAATTGCCTTGCCATCACAGTAGAAAACTACAGAAACAAGGCAAGAGAGAATCTGATGAATAGATCTCCAATACTCTAAACTCAAATCCTAACCCTAAACCAAAACCAATAAATTCTAACAATGCAGCATGCAGCATAAGTATAATACACGCTTCTATTGGCAAATCATCACAGCTTTTCATATTATTAAAAAAAGTAAAATAAGAATAAAAAGGAAACATGTTTACTGCAATTCAAGTTGATGATAAATAGAGGAAAAGGAAAGTAATAACAACGATGATGACGACGACGACAACGACGACAATGACAAGAAGAAACTGTTGATGTCAGATATCAAATAGAGGGTTTATGTTAGAGTTATGAGAGTGATCAAGGTCCTCAAACTCCTTCAGATAACTGGTTTCAAAGCCCGCTAGTCTTTCTTGCACATGAAAAACTCGTAAGAGGGCAAAGTTGGGTTCTTCGGTTGTTTCTCCGACGAATAAATCCGTATTTTGATCTTGAGTGGGAAAATTAAGGACAAATTGTATAGGTAGTTATTCAAAGTTGACAAAAAGCAGAAGAAGTTATCCCATGCAGTGTAGTTCCCTTTTATAGCAGATCAGAGGGTATGAAGGTAACTTCAGCCGAGTCCAGTCAGGTTGCCTGCTGAGTCAATAGATACCTTCCAGGTGTCGGCCGCGAAATAAAGTGAGTCATCTGGTCATTTAATGAGGGAATAACAATAGATGCTTGGAACTGACTAGGTCCGATAAGTCATAAAGACTATGGAGGCTAGGTTAATGATGATTTTGTCAGAGCAGTTAATGCAAGAGCAATCGGCTAGCGAGGGGCTCAAGGTAACTGTCGCCTCTCTTTTTGTTTGGTCAAGGGCCGAGGAGCACTGCCTTTTGATTTGGCTACGCAAGTTGTCGTCTGACACAGTAGACCGAGTGTAGGTTGCTCGTAGGGTCGATCGAGTGAGGTGGCTGACAAGTACCGCCCTTTGACTCGGCTACGCAAGTTGTCGACTGACACAGTACACTGAGTGCGGGTAGTTTGAGTCGTCTAGGCCTCAATTCGTCTGATTAGGCGAGGCGTGAGACACGTGTTGGCTTCCATAAGGAGATGGCACTTGGTGATTTTTTAGGCTATAACAGAAACAATGCTTAAAACACTTAAGGTCTGTTTGATTGATTGGCAAAAGAAAAATGTAACGTATGTTACAGCAAGAACAATGTAACATATGTCACAGCAACAGTGAAGCTTAAGAACTGCCTACTATGTTTCCCCTTTGAATGTCTGGCATATTGCTGCAGCATCTCTAGAAGTTATAATGCTTCGAATTTGCCTCGCCATTAGAATAAACAAGCAAGAAGGAAAGCCGCAAAAGACACCTAAGTTCATAACTGCAGTAAACATCATCTGTTTTACAGTGAAGCAATTGCCAATGCATCTAGTGAAAATGGTCAAACTTCAGAGTTAAGCGAAATTTGCCCTTTTTTTGCTAGGAATGAGATCGTAACATACACAATGGTCTGCCAATCCATCCACACATGCATATAGACACAAGAGCAAGAAGAAAAAGAAACAGCAGAAGAAACAGAAAAGAGCAACATAGCTGAACAGTGAGGTAAATCAAAATCATGTTCCTAGTGTCTGAGTGCAGCTTGCTACCTCCCTACGTCATCTAGCATTATTGTCTTTCAACATCATGGATATTGATAAAGGATGATCAACAGGCTCATCCGAAAATTCAGAGTTATTCCCAAACAAACTTCCAAGCTTTAGTGTAACAAAGGGGCTTTGAGGTCGCCTTAATCAAACCATCCCTGTTTGAGATCAGCTGATTATAAATTGGCTAAATTTCAGAAAACCACCCTTAACTTTAGACGATTATCAGATAACCCCCCATAACTATCAAAACATCATAACTATCGAAATATCAGAAAACCCCCTCAAGCTTAGGGGTTATAAAAAAATCCCCTTCAACTTTCAATTTTCAAAACATCAGTTGATCAGTCTCATCATCTACCACTCACGAGGGTGATCCTTCAAAAACTACCGTATTTCAACAGAATATACTAAGCCAAAAACAATGCTCGGAACACTTAAGGGGGTGTTTGGCTTGCTAAAAAAGGAATGCAGCAAATGTAGCACCAACGGTGAAGCATAAAAGCTGCCTCCATTATGATATGCAAGCAAAAATGGGACAGGTTAAGTTCTTAACCTCAATCAAAATCATTTCTTTGCAGTTAATGAAAATTGCCAAAGCAAATCATTAAAACAACACCAAGAGGCAGAAGTCACAGAAGCAGCAGAAACAACAGCAATAATGAACAATTAGGTCAATCAAAATACCCATTCATCTGCATGAAATCACTTTTCCCAGTGACTGGCTGCAGCTGTGCCACCTCGCCATGCCCCCTGAGAAGATTCTCGCATAATGATCCATGCAACTTGAGAAAGAAAGATCAAGATGCCCAACTATTAGTAATATAATTTACAGTGTTTTTTCAATATTGGTCCCTTAAAATCTTTAATATTTTGAAATTAGTCAATCAAATCATTGAAATTGCTACCATGTCCCACAAATCCATGCATAGGCAAAAGTAAGGATAATCAAAAGACCTATTCCTCTGCATGAAACCCATTTTTCTGACTGCGGCTGCGCTACCTCGCCACATCAAGTAGGAATAGGGTTTTCAGCCTCATGGCTCTCAGGTAGAAAGATCCACATCCTCAACTGTTAGAAAATAGAAGGCTTATTTGCACTTAAATACCCAAAAGTTTCACCCCTTTTTAACTTGGGTTAATTGCACATATACCCTTGTTGTATAGCCTATCTCTGTAATTTCATTTTTGCAAATAAATCCAGCCATTAATCGGCATGAAATCCCCTTCCTAGTTATTGACAGCTGAGCTACCTCGCCAAATCATTTAGAATTAGGGTTTTCAACATGATAGACCTAAAATTCTAACCCTCAATTCTCATCAAAACTTGAAAGGGTTAGATTTTTAGATCAAAGTAAATCCAGATGGTGAAAGAGATAAAACTTGTTACCGCAGGGTTAGGGTTAGGGTTGGGGTTTCAGCCACTGCCATAGCGAGACGCGAACAAGCAAAGGAAAGGGGAGGAATCCACCAAAATAATGAACGATATTGTCATCGCCATCAAAGATTGCTCGCTGCTTTCAGATTGCACGGAAGATGGAATCAGGTTCATTCCGATTCACAAAACGGGTATGGAAGCGTGGTACGCCATTCATTAGGAATCTGGTACAATAAAGGTGGGCTTATACAATACACCAGGGAACATGATACGCTTTAGGTTCGGTTTTTAAATGCAGGAATTGAAAGTTTTGCCGGAGTCAAATTTAAGAAATATGCTAGTTGATATCAGTAATGGTAAAAGAACCTTGAGAATCATTGTGCAATTATGTTACGCATGCTTTATTTGCTTAAATTCTCACGTTTCTGCTGTTTATCCTTTTAAACAAGAGTTATTTAAAAAAAAACTGATTTTACTTCTAAATTGGGTTGCGGGAGTTGGTGAATCAGGTCGCGATTATGGGACGGTTGAACCCGGGTCATGATTTGCTATAGCATCCCACATGGTATTTCTATGTGATGAACTAGGGTTTCATCTCTCTAATTGCGGTCTCAATACCTGGAGACAGGGACAAGGTCCTCAAAAGGCGTGCCTCTTGATTATGGGCCCTAAAAAGTAGGGAAGTACTTACTACCCTGTAGTTTCATTGTAGCAGATAAATCCAAAGACCCATTCATCTACATGAAATCCCTTTCCGAGTACTGACTGCAGCTGAGCTATCTCACCAAATCATCTAGGATTAGGGTTTTCACAGTCATAGATCTAAAATTATTAACCCTTGACTTTCATCAAAACTTTCAACCTGGCTGTAAAAGACATATTGGCAGAACCTTTCTCCACCAATGAGACCATGACACATAGGCTTGCATGCCAAGTAACTACCACAATTGCCTCCGCCATCAGGATGGCGACAGATGTACTTCAAATTCCTTTTGGCTCGGCACCGCCGACCTTAATTTATGGACCCTACTCTCAAAACCTTGACCTAAATTCCTATTGCTTTGACTTTATCATCAACAGTCTTACTTAGGCATTAGTGGACAACCCACCACCATCAATCTGACGCTTTCTCTATCTTATCCCAGACAATCTCAAGAACAGGTCACCACTAGCCAAGTAGCCATATAGGACAGTCACGAGGCCCTCAACATCGAGTCCAATATTGCGGACTCAATCCATCAGGTTTTTCCTTGCATCGACACTCTTAGTCAATTCCCATTCCCAATGATTGATTACAGCATTTTGCTACCTCACCATATCATCAATTAGGTTAAGTGCAAAACCTCTTACAATTGAATTATCTTCAAGGGGCTTAGTGGAAATAGAAAAATTCATGGTGGTTATGTGCAAAACCCCTCCAAAAAAATTGGTGGGGAGTGGGGAGGGGGTGGATTTAAAATTAACCCAACCCCATAGGGGGATTTATAAAATTAACCCTGGAAAAAAGATTCATGAGAAGACCACTGAAAACTCAGATTTGCTTTATATCAATCATTAGAATTGTTAGGACCAAACCAACTCTTTCACCTCTACAGGTCTGCAGATCAAGAAAATGGCTGCAAAAAACCCCATAGGGGGATTTATAAAATTAACCCTGGAAAAAAGATTCATGAGAAGACCACTGGAAGCTCAGATTTGCTTTATATCAATCATTAGAATTGTTAGGAACAAACCAACTCTTTCACCTCTACAGGTCTGCAGATCAAGAAAATGGCTGCAAAAAACCCCATAGGGGGATTTATAAAATTAACCCTGGAAAAAAGATTCATGAGAAGACCACTGAAAGCTCAGATTTGCTTTATATCAATCATTAGAATTGTTAGGAACAAACCAACTCTTTCACCTCTACAGGTCTGCAGATCAAGAAAATGGCTGCAAAAAACCCCATAGGGGGATTTATAAAATTAACCCTGGAAAAAAGATTCATGAGAAGACCACTGGAAGCTCAGATTTGCTTTATATCAATCATTAGAATTGTTAGGAACAAACCAACTCTTTCACCTCTACAGGTCCGCAGATCAAGAAAATGGCTGCAAAGGTGACAACATAATAGAAGTTGCCAACAATTACCTCGCCATCACAGTACTGCAGAAACAGGAAAAGGAGAAAATTTACAAACAGATCTCGCAAACCCTGAACCAGAACCAACACATTCCTAGAATGCAGCATAATACACACTTCCGTTGGCAAATCATCACAGCTTCTCCATATTTTTTTAAAAGTAACTAAAATAAAAAGGAAACTTGATCACTGCAATCTAAGTCAATGATAAATAGAGAAAAACAAAAGTAATAACAATGATGATGGTGACGACGATCAAGATGATAATGATGAAAAGAAGAAACAAACAAGTCAGTATTGCTTAAGTGACACTATAAAGACCGCTCAGTTCTACCCACTGATTAGCGGTGGAATGATATTAAGCAAAGAAAAATGCTTAAACACTAAGAGCCTGTTTGGTTGAACATATGTTACAGCAACAGGGACTGCCTACTATGCCTCATCTTTGAAGGTCTAGCATATGGCTGCAACGCCTCCATAAATTATAACACTTAAAGTTGCCTCATCATTAGAATGCAAGCAAAAAGGAAAGCAGCAGGCACTTAAGTACATAGCCTCAATTAAAAAAATCATATGTTTTGCAGCAATTTCCAAGTCATTTAGTGCGGCACAAATAATCAGCACCATTTTATATCCATATAAACACAAGAAGTCGCAGTAGCAGATCAAAAGACCAACTGATCTGTATGAAACCCCTTCTCCTAGTGATTTGACTGCACTTGTGCTGTTGTTTATATGCTCATGTTTGCATAACAAAAACTACTAAAGTCCACACTTCGGGTATATAAGTGCCGCCAAAAACAAGTGAGGGTATATAAGCGCAAAGTAGGGAATCTATAAGGTATTTAAGTGGCGATTAGCCAATTGTTAGGGCATAAAATTATAACCGACAATTATCATCATGACTTCATTAGTTTTGGTGTAGTAGAAAGGACAGGATAAATTTGATTAAGGCAGCCCTGTTTGAGATCTGCTGGTAATCCAATTATGACATCACTTAGGGGTTAGGTTAGGGTTTTCAGGGAATGTCAAAGCAAGAACCAGTATTTGTTTGTTAAGGAAAGAAACAACTTCCAATACTCCCACAACTCTTATTTAGTATTGACCGAAGACTCAGATTTGAGATTTAGCAATCTGAGATTTAGCAACAGGAGTATTCTTCTTCATAAATTCCCATTCCTAATTATTGACTGCACCACTTTGCTACCTCGCCATTCCTAATGAATGGCTGCAGCATGTTGCTACGCTGCCAACAGTTAGGATGAGGGTTATGGACCCATTGCGCATAATGGTCTGTGAAATAGAATGTGCGGGCAAAATTGGAAACAACATTGCAAAAATGTGTAGCAAATAAATTATGATATATAAGCAAGAAATGAATGCATTTATAAGAAGTTGAGGTTGTTTCTATTGAGGCAAATTGTGGAAGAATAAATCAAGAATCATGTGCAATAAAGGTCACTAAATGCATCAAGTAGGAGAAGTGATAAAATTACAAGTAATAAAAGAATAAAGGCCTAGAGGTAGATTATAGAACTTGAAAGAAGCAAGTAAGAATTAGCTGTTAACTTAAAAGAAATGATCCTTAATAAAACTGAATGGAAAAATAGAATTTGTGACTTCAGATAAAGTTTGTCTTATTGTTGTTTTATACACACACAAATGCACATGCATGCATATATAAGCCAGTAAGAAACACTTTTTAAGGGAATTTATGAGTTGAGAATCATGGCATTTAACTCTGATCATAATATAGAGAAGGCTCAGTTCTGCCTCCTGATTCTTCGTCAAATGATATTATTATATTTAATAAGAAAAATAACGCTTTAAACACTTAGAAGCTCTTTGGTTAGCTAAAAAACAAAAAGTGTAGCAAACATTGCAGCAATAATGAAGCTTCAGAACAACCTCCTCTGTGACCCTTTTGCAGGCCTAGCATATGGCTGCAACGGCTCCATGAGGTACAACAATCACAAAGTTGCCTTGCCATTTTATTAGCCAGGCAAAAAAGGGCATAGCAGAAGCCAGTTAAGTTCTTAACCTCAAAAATAAATAAATAAATAAATAAATAAATAAATAAATAAATAGATAAAATCATCTTTTTGCAGTTAAGGCCAATTGCCAATGCATTATCATGGACTAGGTGCTAAACCGCACCATATCCATATGCACGTGCAAGGAAATATCCGTAACCGTATCCGTTAAGATACGGATATGGTACTCAATTCAATAACCGATAGGATATGGTTATGGATATGGTTTTGTAGTGAAATATCCGGATCTGTATCCGAAATATCCGAATACATATTAGTCATATTGTTACGATAGTTTTAATCCTTAGATTATGGATTTGAGGTTGATTTTGATAATCAAGATGTCTAATATTAGCTTTTCAGATATAATGAAATATTAATGAACTCTTTTGTATCACATGAACTATATTTTTCCAATAGTATCTAGTTTTATCATATCCATTTTGTATTTGCATGTATATCCGTATCCGTATCCGATTTTAGCGGATATGGATATGAATTTTCCTTACCGAGATATATCTATATCCATATCCGAGATGGGAGCGGATATGGATATGGTAAGTATCATATCCGAGCCGTATCCGGACCGAATGCACCATCAAAACCATTTTATATCCATATAAACAGGAAGCAACAACAGCATACTGAATCAGAAGCAACAACATCCTTTAAATATAACAACAACAACAACAACAGGCAGTAACAGCAGCGAGCAGCAGAAACAACAGCAAAGATGAAGAATCAGGGCAATCAACAGACCCATTCGTCTGCATGGAATCCCTTTTCCCAGTGATTGGCTGCAGCTATGCTACCTCGCCACATCATCTAGGGAAGGATTCTCAACATGGATACATGGATCTCAAAAAAGAAAGATCGAGATGCCGCATTTTCAGTAATATAAACTTGCTGGGGTTTTTTCAATATTAGTCCCATAAAATCTTTAATATTTTGAAATTAGTCCCTCAAATCATTGAAATTGCTATTATTGCCACAAGTCCATGCATAGGTAAACACCAAGTAAATCTCTCTGCATGAATACACCCATCCTAGTGACTGACTGCAGCTGTGCTACCTCGCCACGTCGTCTAGGAATAGGGATATCAGTATCATGGATCTCAATGAAGAAAGATCTCCATTGTTGCCCAAATTTAGGAGTATAAAAGGCATATTTGCAATTTTATACTCCAAAGTTTAACCCCTTTTAACATGGACTAATTGCACAGACCCCTGTAGTATCGCTGTTTTGAACTTAGGGGCTGTTTGGTTGGTTTCCTAAAAATCAAGAAAAGGAAAAGGGTACATGGAAATCAATAAAATATTATTTTCATCCATTTCCATCCCTAAAACTCACCACAACATCCAATAAAATATTATTTTCATCTCACAACTCATCTCATATCATCTCCTAAAAATAAACCAAACACAAGAAATGAGTCACATCATCCAACTCATCTCATCTCCATCCCATCTCATCTTTAAAAATCACTCACATCATCCAATAATATGGTGACAACTCATCTCATCTCATTATCATTTCATTTCCACCCATTTCCACAAAAAAACCAAGGAAATTGATTTCCTTAAGTGTGGGTCACATCATTCAATAATATAATGACAACTAATCTCATCTCAATATTTTCTTATTTTTAAGAATGAACCAAACACAAGAAAAGAACTTATTATAGGAAGTAAGTTTCTTATAATTCATTTCCTTATTTTTTTTAGCCAACCAAACAACCTCAAAACAAGTTTTCTTAAAAAATCACCCACATCATCCAATAATAATGTGACAACTCATCTGCATGAAATCCAAGGACCCATTCATCTGCATGAAATCCCCTTCCTAGTGATTGACTGCAGCTGAGCTACCTCGCCAAATCATCTAGGATTAGGGTTATCAACATAATGAATATCAAGGTACAAAGATCCCCCTGCCCAAAAGTTAGAATATAATAGGCTTATTGCACTTAAATACCCTACGGTTTCCCCACTTAAATACCCCCACAGTTTCCCCCTTTTCAAACTTGGGTTAATTGCACATAGACCCCCTGTGGTATCGCCATTTTTAACTTACTACCCCTATAGTTTCATTGTAGCAGATAAATCCAAGGACCCATTCATCTGCATGAAATCCCCTTCCTAGTGATTGACTGCAGCTGAGCTACCTCGCCAAATCATCTTGGATTAGGGTTATCAGCATAATGGATATCAAGGTACAAAGATCCCCATGCCCAAAAGTTAGAATACAAAAGGGCTTATTGCACTTAAATACCCTATGGTTTCCCCACTTAAATACCCCCACCGTTTCCCCCTTTTCAAACTTGGGTTAATTGCACATAGACCCCCTATAGTATCACCATTTTCAATTCACTACGCCTGTAGTTTCATTGTAGCAAATACATCCAAGGACCCATTCATTTACATGAAATCCCCCTCCTAGTGATTGACTGCTGCTGAGCTACCTCGCCAAATCATCTAGGATTAGGGTTATCAGCATAATTAGGGGTGCTAAATTGTATCCGTATTCAAGAAAATATCCGTAACAGTATCCATTAGGATACGAATATGGTTACTCAAATCTATAATTGATAGGATATGGTTACGGATATGGTTTATAGTGAAATATTCGTATCCATATCTGAAATATCTAAATACATATTAGTCATATTCTTACGATAGTTTCGATTCTTAAATTATGAATTAGTGGTTAATTTTGATGATCAAGATGTCTAATCTTAACTATTCAGTTATAATTAACATATTAACGAACTCTTTTGTATCACATGAACTATGTTTTTCTCAATACTATCTAGTTTTCTCATATCTGTTTAGTATCCCCATGCATATCTGCTTATATATCAACCTGTATATCCGTATCCGCATCCGAGATGGGTAAGCGGATATGGATATGGTAAGCATCATTTATGAGCCGTATCCGGACCGAATGCACCCCTATGCATAATGGATATCAAGGTACAAAGATCCTCATGCCGAAAAGTTAGAATATAAAAGGCTTATTGCACTTAAATACCCTACGGTTTCCCCACTTAAATACCCCCACAGTTCCCCCTTTCAAACTTGAGTTAATTGCACATAGACCCCCTGCAGTATCGCCATTTTCAACTTACTACCCCTGTAGTTTCACTGTGGCAGATAAATCCAAGGACCCATTCATCTGCATGAAATCCCCTTCCTAGTGATTGACTGCAGCTGAGCTACCTCGCCAAATCATCTAGGACTAGGGTTTTCAGCACCAGAGGTCTAAGATTATAACCCTCGATTATCATGAAAAGTTTCAAGCTTAAGCCGTAATAAAACGAGCTTCAAGATCTACTTCATCAAGCCAGCAATGTTCGAGATCAGCTGCTTAAAAAATTCGTACCGAACAAATACTTAGGGCAAAAAAATAGAAATCGCATTCGGATCCAAAACAACAGATCCAAGGCTAATGCATGCAGGGATCATGTACGCAGTCTTAAGACCAAAGTAAATCCAGACGGTGGAAGAGATCAAACCTCGATTAGGGTCAAGGTTAGGGTTAGGGTTAGGGCTAGGGCTAGGGTTTCAGCCATGGCCACGGAGAGAAGTAAAGGAGGAGAGGGAGCGGATCTACCGTAGTAACGAAGGAGATCGCCATCGCCATCAAAAGAGACGAACTAGGGTTTCTTCCATCCCTCTTATTATCGCGCGGTCTCGGTTCCGCCGAAGAGCGCGAAGTGGAGAAGTGACAGCTCAGGGGTGTTAAAAGTTGCGCCTCTCCTGTATTGGCCTTAAAAAAATGGCTGGGAATGATCCACCATCATGTTTAAGTTGGGCTGGGCTCAAAAAAATAATGCTAGGGGCACACCCCCTAACACATCACCAACCATACCCCCCTCTCTCATCGCTACAGTAAATCGGGCCCCACATGAAATTTTAAAAATATTAAAATTTTATGTGGGGCTCAGTTTACTATAGCGATGGGAGAGGGGGGTGTGGTTGGTGGTGTGGTAGGGAGTGTGCCCCTAACACCACTTGGCTCAAAATGATGTTAAGGCGGCTCTACGCTCACCTACCAATTTATAAGTGGGACCCACAAAACACTCGTGATCAAGAAAAAGTGTATGGGTCCCACGAAATCCAACGGAACTGGATTGGAACCCACCGGTCGCCTCTCTAATCCTCTCTCTTAATACAGATGCTAAGTCGTATCCGTATCTGAAAAAATATATGTAACCGGGTCTGTTAGGATACTGATATGGTTACTTAAATCTATAACCAATAGAATATGGTTCGAATATGGTTTTATAGTGAAATATCTGTATCTGTGTTTGAAATATATGAATATATATTAGTCATATTCTTACGAGATTCTTAGATTATAGATTTGTGGTTAATTTTGATGATCAAGATGTCTAATCTTAACTTTTGAGTTATAATTAACATATAAACAAACTCTTTTGTATCACATAGATTATGTTTTTCTCAATACTATCTAGTTTTCTAATATCCGTTTTGTATTCGCATGCATATCTGCATGTATATCCGTAATCGTATCCGATTTTTAGCGGATATGGATATAAATTTTTCTTACCGTGGTACATCCGTATCTGTATTCGCATCCGAGATGGGTAAGCGGATACGGATATGATAAGCATCATACCGAGCTATATCCGGACCGAATGCACCACTATCTGTTAAAGATAAAAAATTGCTAGATTTTAGGCAACCCCTCTCTTTCTCTCTCAACAAAATCAACGAGATCCTGGATCTAATTCCAGTTCTTCAATATTCTCCTTCTCAGAAACTTGGTATACTTTGATCAGTGCTATCCTTAGTAATGCCACAGTACTAAGCTACTAATTTACTATACTTATATTAGTGATAAATGGATAAAACTAAGAGAGAAGAGAAAATCTACAGCAACGGAAGCAGAGGAAGAAGGTGGAGATTTTTTTAAGAGACCCAAAGTTCCATCGCTTGTAAGGTTTATTTTCTTCTCTCTTCTTCGGTTTTTTTAGTTCATATGCTAAGATGATTTGAGTGGAGATAATTAGGGGCAGTGACTCATTTTCTCAATAGAATTGTGATGCTGCTAAGAAACCCATTGGTGAAAGAATCTGAGTTTTTTAAATTAGTAGAGCTTTTGGGTTATCGCGAGTTAGGATTTTTCACTTCGAGAGACGATAAAGGGGGGATTTTGACTGGAGTTTCTCTCTACGTGTGAAGGTGTTGCTGTTCTCTTGCTCTTTTTCATTAAGAAATGTACATTGTCATCTTGGCAATGGCTTCACTATTTGGACTACTTTAACATTTTATTCTAGGTTGTAGGACGTTAGACATAAAATCATTTTGAGAAAGTTTACATAGGAAGTTTGAGCCTTGGTAACAAGTGTTGGTCTAGAATCAATAAAGAAATTTTACTTGAAGTTCAGTGGCTATTCATGGAAGGAATCTGTCAATTGATTGAAATAAAGATTTCGTTATTTCTTGATAGATAACATGATTGTCTGCATATCTCTAAAGAAGTATAAAATTAGATTTTGGGCTCTCTTGCTACCTTTATGCTTATATCGTTGCACTGACATGGCAAAAAATCATGTCAGTGAGGAAGTGGAGCGTGCTTTGGCGAAGTTAGTCCAGCCCAAGCTCACAGGAAGGTGTGAAGTTATACTTGTTTAAATAAAATAGGGTAAAATGTAGATAACCCCCTTCATCTATATCTTCAATATCACTTACGTTCCCTCGATTGTTTTAGGAGTCCCTTTAGAATTTAGGGGCAATAAGTGACAATAAGTGAGGAACTTCTTGTGCTCTTAACTACACATCATCGCATCATTCAATATCTCTAGACTAAGAATGGGATTTTCACCTCTTCAACTAACTGTCACGGGGTTATTAACAGGTCATCTCCTCAAAGAATCGAGGGACCAGGAGGAAGAAAGCTACAACTTCATTTCAGATCAAGGTTACCTCCACATCTCTTCACAGGAGCAAAAGTCGATCAAGGCACGTCAATCCATATCATTTTACTTGTTGCAGTCACTAACACGGTTATCAGCTTTGGGTCCGAAGCAGTAGCCAAACTAAGTGTTGTTGTCTTGGAAGGCAATTTCAATGATGAAAATGATAGCAAATGGACTCAATATCACTTTGAAAGTTTTGAAGTTAAGGAGAGAGAGGGTAAAATTAAGGCCACTTCTGACAGGTGATTTACTGGTTACTCTTGAAGAATGAATTGGAACTTTAGGAGATTTGAGTTTCACTGATAACTCTAGTTGGATACGGAGTAGAAAATTTAGACTCGGTGTCAAAGGTGTCAAAGTTGCTGATGGATTTTCTGAAGATATTCATATACGAGAGGCAAAGTCTGAGGCATTTGCTGTGTTAAGGATCATAGAAGAGAATGTAGACTAATATTATCTATGATCTCCTTTTCTCTTCAGGTTGAATTTGATTCAATAGAAAGTAATTCGGTAAGGTTTTTGTTGCAGTGTACAAAAAACACTATCCGCCTGTGTTGCATGATGAAGTATGGAGATTGGATCGAACATCGAAGGATGGAGCGCTGCACAAGAGGTTGGTGGATGCTAGTATTGTAACTGTTGAATATTTTCTTCGTCTTTTTGTCAGAGATCAACAGAAATTGAGAAGTGTGACAACTTGCTCTTGATCTGTTTCATGTTAAATATGATATTGTCTATTTTTTCAGACTTTCTATAGTTAGCCTATAATATGTGTATCTATGCGAGGCATTGTCTTCTTGAACGGTATCAATCACTAGAGATTCCTCTCTTGATTCTTGATACTTCTTTCTCCTCCAGTGAATTTTACCGTGTTTGAGACTGTTTGCGTCAGAAATCTTTTTCATTGCTAAATCTATTACAATTGTTTATCAATTACAGCTTCAAGAGAGTTAATCTTTTTATAAGATCTCTCGTTACAACGAAAAATAAATGAATGAAATCTTCTAGAAACACACGTAGAAACTCTTGTTTAGCAGTCTCTGCTTGCATAAAATCTTTACCTGTGCCGGGGACGCGTTAGTCTGTGGACCACCGATTCACAGATCCGGATTGATCTCAAGAAGGCTTGTGGTCGATGTTTTGTTTTAGAAACAATGACAGAAGTGGATATCTTAATAAGATGAGATAAAACACTTTTCTCAAGATCAAGTCAAAAGCTTAGATCTCGAGAAAACACCAAAGACTTTGAGGATTCCTTGAAAACGATGCAAGACTCTCTCCAAAGTTCGCCAAAAAAATCAATTCTCTGCTGCCAAATTGCTCTCTCCGGTGCACAGGGGTGTAGGGGAAGTATTTATGGCCCATGGGAACCGTTTCTGAAGATAAGAAGTCGAAACAAACCTTATCTGTCAACTCCTATTTCCGAGATAGCGTCTACTGTCTCGGGAGAAGGGGTCGTTCCGGGCAGTTTTGTAACCGACGTTCAATCTGTTAAATGCTGTGATTTTCGAGGATTTTGAGTGTCTCTTCAGTTTGTAACGGCCTCCCCCGTGGTTATGGATGATCCCAATTAGTTATGAACCTACGTGGGTTACACGAAGTCCAATAAAACCTTATCTGTCAACTCCTATTAGGAAATAAGCTTGTTATGCCCAATGAGCATCAAAGCCGCTTCCTTCAATATTTGATTGTCGTAGATTCTTGTTACAAAGCTTATTCATGTTGTTTACAAGTGAAACAGATATCAGTTGATCTGCTAGCTAGCTAGCGAAGAGAGCATATGATAACTGGAACGGATCGAGTTGTGGAATATGATGGTCAGGCTTAATTTGTTGAATCCACCCATTACGGAAGTTAACCCCCAGGCTGCAAGCCAATATATATGATGCCTTCAAGGTACCAAAATAACGGGTCCCGGTCAGATACCTCACCCGAACCCGTACTTGGAGAGTATTTCTCTGAGGAAGAGATAAGGACGAGGGGTGCATGCAGAGATTTTGCAGCACGACGAAATGCAGCATATACGCTGAGATCTTTTGCTTCAGGTATGGGCGACGGTGGTGGGTTTAGTATATAGCTACATTTAATAGAGTGTATAGCTACGTAGTTTACGGTGTATAGGTACATATTGTGGTGTGCGTAGCTACATGCTTTAGAGCTAGCTTAGAGTCATATGTAGCTATACGTATCGTATTCAAAGTTCTGGGTTTAAAGTTTATTTTTTGGGTGTATGAGAACTTAGGGGGGGTTATTCGTTGGTGTAATTTGGTGTAATTTGGGGTAAATTGTTCCAATGGGGTAATTTTACCCAATGGGATAATTTAAGTGGGATAAATTGGGGTAAAATGGGGTAATGGGACAATTTGAGTGGGACAATTAGTATGACATCTTTTATAATATTATATTTATAGCTCAATTAAATTCAAGTTTAACTTGATATAACATCAAATGATTACGTTGGTGTAATTTGGTGTAATTTGGGGTAAATTGTTCCAATGGGGTAATTTTACCCAATGGGATAATTTAAGTGGGATAAATTGGGGTAAAATGGGGTAATGGGACAATTTGAGTGGGACAATTAGTATGACATCTTTTATAATATTATATTTATAGCTCAATTAAATTCAAGTTTAACTTGACATAACATCAAATGATTAAATAAATAATAGTTATAATATACAATAATATTATTTTAAAGATTGTTTTAATATAAAATAATAAAAATAATATAATAATATTAATATTAATCAATCTTTGAATATTTGATGTTTATTTTAATATTTATGCTATATTAACAAATTTTTTAATTGCAATAATTGTTCAAACATACAACCCCAAATCTTTAATAACACACAAAAATTTTCAACGGTCATACAAATCACCAGAGCATAGTTTCAACATCAAATTATCACAAGTACATAGTTTCAACGTCAAATTATCACAACAATACAAGAAAATTCACAAGTACATAGTTTCAACATCAAATTATCACAACAATACAAGATAAATGGTTTCAACATCGAATTGTGGCCGCCACCGTTGCGCCACCACCCTCCTTCGCTCACCTTCCCTCACCGCGCCAAACACCCCCAACACCACCTCCCCCTCCGACCACATGCCGCCAAGCACCCCCAGAACCACCTCCTTCAACCCCAAACCGCCCGAACCCGAGCTCCACCACAACTTCTCTTGATCAAGCTGCCTCTGCTGCTAACAATCACCATGAACAGTATCTTAACATGTTTCCATTTCCCTACTTTTCAAGCATCAACACTTCAGAAACTCAGGAAAGGATTGCAATGCAAAGGATGAAATCATGATTCTTATGTCCTCATTGTGTGCAAACGAACTGAAAATCCTTCACAACTCTTTTATATAATACTATGTGATTGATAATGATACCATTTCGGCCTTCCCGTCACTTTAATCAGCATAGCCCAGCAATATGTTTGCCAAATAATCTAGTCAGGCAAAGAAACAATTGTAGAGTTGGTGAAAAGTCAGAGGTATGCCTCTGGAAGTTGGGCGGTCGACCGGCAGTGGAGCTGCGGTCGACCGATATGTGCACACAACTCTTAGTGTGCCTCTGGAATTTGGGCGGTCGACCGGACGAAGCGCTGCGGTCGACCGCGAATTGTCCAGAGAGCAGACTGGACCTCGGGATATTTTGCGGTCGACCGGCAGTGGTGCTGCGGTCGACCGACTATCGGGTTTTGGGTTTAAGTTGGTTTTCCAGACCCGTTTTCTTTGTAACTTGTATATAAACCCCAAATCTGTTCTAGGGTTTTATGCAAGGGAGATTTTGAGCTGCCAAAGGGGATTTTCTAGGGCTTCTTTTGTTGGAGTCTATTGGAGAGATCAAGTGATCTTGTTTGAGGGTTTTGGGTAAGATTTGTAACCCTAATTTGTATTCCCCTTTGATTTGATTAGTGAACCCCCCCCCTCCTTGTCCCGTGGACGTAGGCACATTGCCGAACCACGTATATCTTGTGTTCTTACTGTGATTGGTTGGCTTGTGTCTATTGTGGTCTATTTTGTTCTTGTGTGTGCTATTGTTTTGGCTATTTGGGACTTCCGCGGCGCACAACAAGTGGTATCAGAGCTCCGGGTTGGATTTGGGAGTTTTGTTCGAAGGATTCACTGTTGGATTCTTATTTGAAGAGTAGATCTACAATATGGGTGATACAAGCAGGGCTAGCTCAAGTGCTACTAGTCCATCGGGGTCGGCTTTGACAAAGGCGATCCAAAATTTGAGCATCAATAACACTAAAATTGATGTCCCAAAGTTCGACGGCAAGATCAACTTCGGTTTATGGAGGTGTCAAGTAATGGACGCCTTAGATGCACAAAACTTGGAGGAGACCCTTGAGTTTCAAGAGAAACCCGAGGAGATTGATGATAGGGTTTGGAAGAAAATGCACAGTAGGGCTTGTGGGGTTATTCGGTCATGCCTAACACCGGATCTCATTTATGATGTGATGAACGAGACTTCGGCAAAGAGATTGTGGGAAACGCTCAATGAAAAATATTTGACAAAAAGCATTGAGAATCGGCTTCACTTGAAGAAGAGGTTCTACCAATTCAAGATGAAGAGGGGAGTTTCCATTCGAGAGCATGTTAACGACTTCACAAAGCTAATTTCGGATATGGCCAATGTTGATATCATGGTGGAGGATGAAGACAAGGCGATGTTATCGTTGTGTTCATTGCCAGACGATGAGTTTAGCACCTTTGTTCTCACTATGATAAATGGGCGAACTACAGTTAGCTACAAGGAGGTGACCTCGGCATTGGTGAATTATGAGCTGAGGAAGAATGATTGTGAGCCCTCCGAGAAGGCATCGGGTGATGCACTTGCAGTTCGTGGCCGTGCTCCAAACCGTCAAAAGTTCAACCGCTCAAAATCGAAGAATAGGGGTGGCCATAAAAGTGTTGGTAGAAATCAATGTGCCTTTTGCAAAGAAGAGGGACATTGGAAGAATGAGTGCCCAAAGTTGAAGGATAGAGCCAGGAAGCAAAGGGGGAAAGCTGTACAAGCTTCAGAGGTGAATGTTGCTAAGGTTGTTGGCGACATTTCAGATTCAGATTCTTCCGGTTATTCTTGTCCCGCACTGCCGTCAGTTTGTTATGCCGACTCTACGGAGTGGATGCTTGATTCGGGAGCTACATTTCATATTTGCCCTAAGAGGGATTGGTTTACCAACTTTGAGGAGTTGAAGAGAGGAGACGTGGTGCTCATGGGGAACGATCACGTTTGTCCTATTAGTGGGATTGGCTCAGTCAGAATCAGAATGCATGACGGGGTGACTAGGGAATTGAAAGATGTGAGGTTCGTGCCGCAGTTGACGAAGAACCTCATTTCTCTTGGGACTTTGGAGGCATCCGGTTATAGAGTGATATTAGAGGATGCTAGTTTGAAGGTCATGAAGGGATCCATGGTGGTGATGCGAGGTGTCAGGGAAAACAACCTATACTACTTGAAGGGCAAGACAGTTACAGGGGGTCTGGCTGCATCTATTACCACAGAGGAGGACACTACCACACTATGGCACATGAGGCTTGGACACACAGGTGAAAAGTCCCTTCAGTCATTGGCAAAACAGGGGCTATTGAAAGGTGCAAAGACCTGCAAGATGGAGCTGTGTGAGCATTGCATACTTGGGAAGAAGACTAAAGTGAAGTTTGGCACCGCAATTCACAACACCCA